GTGTTTATTGTAGGAATGTGCAACCCCCCCAAACCTACACCATGAATAATAACACTTTTTTTTACCCCAGTTATTCTAGGATGAATAACTCTTAAACTATTCTTGAATGTGAAAAAAAAGAAATCAGTTGAACCAGATGCTTACTTATCTATTTTAGAGAACTAATTATCCCTGTTGTTGGTAGTGCTAAAGCTTACGAAATTGCTTCCATCTTTGAATTACTATAATTAAGACGATAACTTCCACATCTAGTTAACATTGCTGTGCAGCTGCTGCATTCATTGACATGCAGATTTTGGATTTTGTAAATTTTCTGTCATTGTGGATAAAAATTTTAAATACTTATTTTCATTTCCAAAATGTCTGTTTCTCATAAAGAACTCTTTGTAAAGCAAATCAACTAAAACCAAACTTCTGTAACATCAGAGGAGAATCTGGTGAAGTTTGGTTAGATGATATTACATTTTAGGAAAATATGTAACCACAAATAACTTTTGTAGATACAATTGCTCTGAATTTTGGATCCCAGTTCATAGGGATCTGAGGTCAATAAATGGAGTGTCAAATCTGGAACAAGTCTGATGCTTGGCTTCTGAAATGATATTTTGAAAGAAGTTAGTGCAAGAGTTAATCTGGCTCTCTGACAACCTGAGGTAGTTTGCAAAATTCTAAAATTAAGATTTTTGGTTGAAGGTTGGGCTTGATGATCTTGTAGGTCTTTTCCAATCTTCATGATTCTATGACAGATCACTAATCTGAATAAAATACATTCTTTAATAATAACCAAAATGTGATTTAAGCTATACTTTTTCCATATATCTTATTTCTTTAAGTTGATTTCTGTCAAAGTCAATGAGAAGGCTCGTGCAATCAGTGTTATCTCGTTTACTTACATACTCCAGCAGCTTCAGCTATGAGAAATTACTCAAGGCCTATAAATTCAGAGAGATTTTGAGAAACTTCCTTATCATTATTCATTATAATAACCAGCATCACTATGAAATTGCTTGATAGTGGTGGTTGGTTATTTATATTTACATTGTTTTTTTCTGTGGCCCTCGCTTTCATTCCGTGGATGCCTCATGGGCATTAATCAGTTTTGCTCGGTGAGTTGAAGATGTCCCCTGAGTAAACTGCTAAAATAAAGAATCAAATATCGATTTATGCTGAAACAGAGTCATTGATTTTTTTTTTTTTTCAGCCTGAACAGGCATATGAAACAAGGTGCACTCGTGGTGCTCATTTTAGAGGCTTGCCCTGGGCTTGTCCGTGGGTGAGGAGGAGGAGGAGGCTGCTCGGGTGCAGATGAAGAGCTGGGGGCTGCGTGCAGGTCACAGGTACAACGCCAAATGTGCTCAGAAATAACTCTGGGCCGGGGTGCTGGCTCAGGGGCACATTTCAGTGGGTCCAAAAGCAGTGTCCAGTTACCAGACCCACGCCCCATGTCCTGCAGTGTTCAGTTTCAAGAATGCTCTGGGGACACTTCAGTACACGTAACAAATGATATTTTTACTGCAGGCAGAGAAGGTAACTCCAGAAACAGAGTAAAACTCTATTTCCATAGTGGTGCAAAGGCATTGTTTCAACTGTTTCAATATAAGATATCCATGTTACTTGTGTTTTCAGAATTAAATCCAGGTGCTCCTGTGTTCTCACAGGTTTCTAGACTCGGGTTTGGCCGTGTGGGTGTTGGACCAGGGTAGGGAGGGCTGGAGCTCAGCCCTACAGCTCTGTGCCCCACAGAAACTCTGTGCTGTTAAAATTGTGCTTTGCCTAAACTGAAAGACCTGGAGGGGATTTGCTCTCTGAAATTATGAAGTGAGATCTGAGCAAAAAAAAAAGGTTAACAAGACCCATAGCAAATTGTGAGAGGAAAGGAGATTCAGGGCAGTGCTCACCTTGTGTTTAATGAAAACAGCAAAACTTTGGCTTATAAACAAATAATAATACTTGAAATCTCTCTGGACTGGTTAAAATCTGATTTTTTCCAGTTAAAAAGTAAGATATAGCCTACCTTTTCCCCTTTTACTTTCTCCTGTTTTCTTATGTAGATTGAATTAATTTTTGAGCAAGAAGACATACAGTGTTGTTTTGAGAATTCACAAACAGTAATCATAATTAATGCAATTTAAAGGATTAACAATATGATCTCCTCATTATCATTGGCCTGGTAACTTTTGAGCCCAGCACTGTCTGGCTAAAATGAACCTTCCAGGAAATAATTTTTTCTTCAGTAGAACTGTTTCTGCCAACAACTTCAATTGACTAGTTTGAATTTCTTTGGCACTAAGCCCTCCTTAAAGCCAGCTTTGTTTCCTTCACATTAGGCTGTTCTTTAGGACGTGCTCAAATGCTGTCATAGTGACTTGTTGGGGGAGAGGTCATCCCACTGAAGTCTGCTTGTTACCTCCTCCCTTCACTCTCTTTTTGTTTTAGTCGCTACCAGAACTTCATCACTCTTGTTCTGCATTTCCTCTAGGGTTCCTACATCTGTTAAAAGCTTTTTCTCTATATGCAGAGAGCTCTCTTCAGCCAGTAGAGAGTATGATTGTACTTGTATATTTTTCTCCACATAGGACATGAATTTGAGAAGTTGTGTGTTGTGTTTTTAGTCTCTGTTTAAGCTTTGCCTTATTGCCAACACACATAAGTCATAGCAATGGCTAAACAGACCCAAGTGATGTTTCTCTTCTGCAGATGAGACATCCAGGAAAATTAAAAGTTATCCAATGCTGAGGGTGCAAAGAAAATAATGTTTTATTCCCAACTTGGGGCTAGGCTTTCACTCCAAGCCATTCCCTCCTCTGGGTACATTTGTGTAAACCTGACCTATTTTAAGGGGTCTCAGCTGTGCTTGCTCTGCATCCCCTTAACCCTTTGTCTTTTGGCTCCTTATCTTGGCAAAGACAGCATGAAAATGGGTTTGTAAAACTCCGTTCAGTTGGGAAAATGCAGGCAAGCAGTTAAAAAGCTCTGAGTTTGGGACAGTTCACTTCCCCTGTTATGCTGTGGTTTAAATATACCAAGTTTCCATAGCCAGCTCCAGACATTGCTGTGGTAAAGTGTGCTTTAGGAACTGTCTTTAGCAAAGAGATAAAACTATAGAGAATGGAGCTCTGTTTTCTCACTGTACTAGTGGTTTTTATTGAGCAAGATCTTAAATTTTTACATTATATTTGATACTAAAATGCCCAGGATTTTTGTTTTTTAGTTTCTTATATAGTAGTATATATTACACTAGAATATTCAGGAATTTCATGTTGCAAGAAAGATTTTGTGCTAATGTAAACAATGATTATCTGGTATTAATGTTGGAATTGAGTATTCTGGGTTTTTTTTCAGCAGTTACTGGAATAATGTAACTGAAAACATGTTAAAAATATCCATGAACTGGGATTTTAAGCTTCTTAAAATCTGGCTGTTAGTTTTTCCGTGAGATGTGCACAATGGCAATCAGTTTTTGGATGGACTGTTGTTGAATAATACATGAATGTAAATGGAGATTGTATGGAATCAGTTGGATAATTTTGAGGAATGCTTTAAGTACACTAAAGAGCCTGAATAGCAGTTAATGGTGCTTCAACTTTATTACTGTTTATTATAGTTGGCAGTTCAGTTGTATTTTTTTCTGTATCAAGTTCTCTAGTTTCCTATAGAACAGCAATAAAATAAGCTTACAAATAATAATGGTCAGATGCACTGTATCCTGTGGCATCAGAATACTTTTGCATTAAATTGTAGTTCTTGGCAGCCAGGGTGTGTTTATTGTTGGGCAGCTCCAGCAGATCGGTCAGGTCACGAAGGGCCTGGCAGATGTCAGCATTTGGGGTCTGCAGTCAGAGAGGCTTTGCCTGTGCCTGGGCAGCCCAGTGTGGAGCTTCACAGAGCACCCCTGGAGTGGGGCCAGCCAGCTCCTTCCTCAGCCTTTGCTCAGCTTTCCCTGCTCCTGGCTGTTCTCCCACCCCTATCAACACCAATGGGATTCTAGTTACCTGTTTTGGGAACTGCTGAAGTAAGCAGGAATGTTACTGCCATGTAGGAAGCAAGCTGGAGGTACAAAGAATAGATGTATGTAGCTGTAGTGCTTGGTCAGTTTTAAGATGTTGCTGGAAACTTAATTTCTTCTGTTTAAACAGCAGGAGAAGTGGCAATCACAAAGGCATTTAACTATCTAGCTGCTCTTCTTCACATCAGCTCCCATGATTTAGAAATGTTTCCCTCGCCCATTGCAATTCTGTTTATCATGTTTAGAGCTAAATGTTTGCTACCAGCGGTCACAAGCTGGGAAACAAATGGAGGAACACATCCTTCTCTTAATTTGGCTCAGCTTTTCCAACAGGGAAAAAGTAAATCTGAGCTGTCCCATAAGAAGTGTCACTTTCCTTGCTGGAACAAACGAGTGGAGTTGATGTGGTGGAGGTGTGTCTGAAACTTGCTTTGCAGAGTTTTCCATCAGTATTGCCTCATGTGTTCACAAAGATTTTTGGTCTCAGGCTTTAAGTTTGATTAGTAATCCCACATATCTGCTGGGTTGTACTAACACTTTGCTCTGTAATTTTAACACTGCTCTAAGGAATATGCTCTGGTTTCTTATAACCAAGCCAATAACTGTAATGGATTTATTTGCTAGGTTGGATATTGGTAAGAGTATCCAAAGCACTCTGGGGTATTTTACATTGTTTTTTGCTTTTTGTGTGAGTTTGAAAGCTTGAGTTGCACATATTCTGTAAATCAGGAATGAGTTACCAGCTATCTCCAGTGGCCTGTGCAGCAAATGCTTCCAGAGTGTTGAAACACTTGCTGCTGACCAAGTACCTTTTGTCCTTGTACATTTCCTTCTTTGCAGGATCACTACCGAGATCAAGAGTGTGAAAAAATTCCACCCTAAATACCAAGAGATTCCTCCTTAGCAGAAAGAGATTCTGCAGAATCTGCCTCGAGGTGCTGTTGTCCATCTGTCTGTGTCTAATGGTTTATCTTTCTTTCTTTCTTTCTTTCAGCTGTCGGACAAGCAACAGGAAGAGTTTGATTGTAACATCCAGCACATCTCCAACTCTTCCACGGCCACATTCCCCTCTCCATGGACACGCAGGTAACTCCCTAGGACTGCTCTACCTGGGAATCATCAGCACAAATGCCAGTAGTCATTGCAGTGAGTTGAACATACTAATACTCAGCATCAAAATATGCCCTTTGGAAATTACTCTGTTAGTAGTTTTTCACCTTTCCAAACTTGTCAAAGGGTCTTTATAGTTTCAAGATAAATGTTTTATGTTCTGCACTTTCTAGTTTGCTTCCGTATCCATCCTCCACTCTTCCTGAGGGATTCAATCCTCTTACATCCTGAAAAAGAGCCTGAGATGGAAAACAAAGCCAAATAAAATTAGATAAATAGGTTTAAGTAGATCTCTTGTTTTGAGTCTCCGAGCATGGTTAATTTGTGGCAGTGATTTAACTGCAGTTCTCCTGAGGAGGAACATCCTGCCTGTTTCCGCGTGCCTCCGGCAGCCCAGCAGCTGTGCAGTGTGCCATCTTATGGTCTCTGTCTGCTACTCATTGCAACAGGAGGTGTTTGGGAGTTTTATTTCACTGCTGCCAGTTTTACCATGGCAGCAACTGGGAAACGCTCATTTCAGAGCACATGGGCAGGGGCTTGTTAGTCATTGAAATGAAGTGTGTCGAGATGTTCTTGCAACAGAAAAAGAAGGAATAATTCTTCAGAAAGGGTCACACATGCAGATTCAACAGCTTGCCTGAACAGCATATTCCTTTGTTTTTGTTGCTGAGGGAGGTAGGTGATGTGTGTATGATGTTTTGAAAATGCCAGAGGGTGACTGGGCTCCAGGTAGGTCCCTGATGGCCACCAGTCAGTAGCAGGAAACAGCTGGGACGTTTGTAGCACATCATCCACAGTGGAGCCTCTCTGGAAACACGTCACTGCTGCGTGTAAGACAAAGAATGTTGTTTTCATTATAATCAGAGTGTGTTCCTCCTACATGGCAGTATGTTCTGTAAATGCTTTCTGGAGACTGAAACTGAGGCAGTGCTGAGAAAGAGCAGCAAACTGATCGTAGCTCAGCAAGAAGGAGCCATCTGCTTCTGTTTGCAGAGCTTTGCATCCCGAGAGGTGATATCCAGCCTGCTGAGAGGAAAAAGAAGGCCGAAGTTATTGTTCAGGGATGCCCATAAAAGCCTCATTCCTCTTAAGTTTTCATAAAAATCTGCCATATTTTCTCGGGATGCTATAAAAAGCCCAGTCATGGAAAGCTAGGAAGATGCTTTAAGTACATTAGTATTCTAACATCACCCATTATTTTCAAATTAAAATGTTAGCAAAATCTTTCCAGTGGTATATTAAAACCATTTTCTGCTTCAGAATCTGAAATAAAATGCAGGGCAAAAAATGTGTATAGGCCCATCTCCTTCCACTTCAAACTCCCTTGTTGCTGTTGTGTGTGGTTATGGTAGTGATAATTTAGTAAAATTTAGTTTAAACAAGGCATTTTTCTTGGTAGAAATTCTCCACTTAGTTTCATTGTGCTTTTTGCTTTGAATTCATATATGTGTTGGTTTCACTAAGTTCTAAATTAGCTCTACAACGCTTTAACTGAGAAAAATAAATGCTTGGGAGATTGCAACAAGATACTGACATGATCATTGGTCAGAAAACAAATGCAGAAATGTTCATAATAGAAACATGTATATTTTATTTTCTTTTGATTTACTTTTCTCCTCTGTCTATTTAAAAAATTGGGTTTCTTCTGTTTTGATGCTGTTTCAGGCTTTACAAGCTTATAATTTATTAGAAGTATGTGAGTGTCTTCTGGAAGGAACAGTACCTACTCAGTGGTGTGCCACCTTACTTTAGCAGTAATTTTCAAATATTTCCTTTTTTTCCCTGATGTTGCATATGGGATTTAAAATATTAATTAAAATTACATCCTTTGTTACCTTTTACAAGTAGTCAGTAGCGCACAGGAAGATAAATGAATTGTAATTTGGGGTCTCTACCAGTCCTATATTTAGGAGTCTTCCCTGGGAAAAAAAATAATTTATTCAAGAAACGAAAGTAGATGAAATTTAGAGTAGAGTCACAAATATTTTCTTAAGAAATATCATATGTGAAGAGTGAATTTGAGAACAGGCTGTGATATTTGTTTAGTATTTGAACAGAATCTGTCAGTCTGTTTGTTCAGGCACATGCGGTGATGAGTTACTAAGAAATGCTGGTTCCTCTTTTGTCTTGAACTTTTGTCTTTTCTTCTTAATGCCCATTCTGAACCACTCCTACAAATCAAAGGAGCAACAGGCGTGTAGAGAAACCAGGGAGGCTTTCTAAAATACTTCTGGACACCACACAAAAATAAATTCCTGTACGGCAGTAATGTCAGGAGTTGCTCTTCTGTGCATGATGTGAAAGTCCGTGGGTAAGATCAGGACAGTTGTCTTTCTGTCAGGCAAACCTATCTCCTCATGAGCACTGATCCAGGCAGAGGGACTTACTGTCTCAAACAGCATCCCAGCAAGATGCCAGGCAACTTCACATCCCAGAAAATTTAGAAGAGAAGTGTTACTTAATGAGCTCTCAACATTTGAGAAAGAAGTACATCCAAATACCTTGAACCCTGCCATGAAATCACTTCTGAATCAAGAGCACTTAAATGTGCTAGTTCTATTTTCAAACTGTATGAAATAGCATTTTCCAGAATGAGCTGGTACTTTGGCATAAAGAGCTACAGCTCGTGAGGAAGTCACTCTGCTGGTTTAGTCTTCCAAACTTGTAGTGGCCAGTTTAAGAAATAGAAGTTTGAAAATTTTGCCTGTATTCTAAATTCTTTTTGTTTTGAAATGCGAGGGGGAAGTAAACAGCTACACATGTGTATTCCTTAATTTTTTTCTATTTCTTTGAATCATTTTTTTTTTTAAATATGAAATTACAAAGAGGATACACCATAAGGTTCATAAGTAAGTTGCCATCAGATTATATTTTAAATCAAAAGGCCTAAAATGAAAGACGCAACATTATAATTTAGTACTAAAGAGATAGGTACTTACAGCTGGAAAATTGAAGCTCAGGCTATTTTCAAATTTACCTTCCACAGCTGTAAGTTAGCCAGGTTGTTCTCTGGCTTCCAGTGGAGGCACTTGTCACTGCTGGGACCTTTACCCTGCTCCCATCTGTAATGGCACACAGAGGGAGCTGCTCACAGGCAGCACTGTGCTACTGAATTAAATGAATCTGCTATTATTACACTGCAAGTTCAGTTCCACCTTCTGGCAGAAAAATGGCTATTGCTGAGGTGCCTATTTATTTATTATTTTTAGAGTGTGCAGAGTATGTAACATCCTACCCTAGTTATCAAAGCTGAGGTTCATCAGCACGTCATGCCTGTGATCCTTGGGTGGTGTGAGAGCACCATGGCATTCATTGTTTATGAGACTGGTGGTACACAGGGTGCTTTAAATATTGGGATAATTTTGAAATTTGTACGTGCTGAAATGCATCTAATTCTGTAGCATGCATATGACCTTTAGCTGCTTGCTTTAATATTCAGCAAATAATTTGCATATCCTGCATAGAAGACCACAAAAACTTAGCCTTTTTTGTTGATTTGTTAATTTTTATGGCTCTCAGAAGTAGGTTTTACAGCATGGTTCTGTTGTGAGTTTTTGGAGTTATAACCTATCTGATGAGTGTCATTCATGTTTGTATGGGATAGCTGAGACTGTCATTGCCTGTAAGGTCTGGTTTCATGTTTTGAAAGTAGTGGATTTACAAATGCTTTGGCTGCATCCTTCTTCCTGTGTCCGGAAGATGCAAAGGTTCCTGCCTGAATTACTGGCATTGGTGTAGCTGTGTTCATTTACATGATGGGCAATCATTCTGTGTAACAGCCTCCCTTGAGACAGAGCTATTTCAGGTTCAGTACTAGCCAACTATAACCCTGGAGCAACAGGGGAATCTACCTTTGCTGCAGAATAAATAGGATTTCGATCAGTCTTGGTGAACAAGACCATTGCACTCAGGCTTCTCTTATTAAAATACCTTCGTCTGCAGCAGATGCAGTAATGCTGGGAAATTTTAGGGAAAGTAGAAATTCCCTGTCTCCCTGTTGTTGTTTTAAAAGCTTCACCAAGACTTGAATTGAGTAGAAAAACTAATTGCTTTTCAGTTTAAAACTACAAGGAAATCACTGGGGATCTAATTAAAATTCCAGTGTCTGAAAGGAAATATGCCATATACATCTGAAAAAGTAGTTGCTCAAAAATTAGTAGTATCTCTGTACCACACAGTACAGGCTCAGAAGAGTTTGAACACCCACATACTTAATTTCAAAATGTAAAAACTGTCATTACCCAATTTGCTCGGTTATTCTGAAATTCCATTTTGATCATACCCCAGAAAGTTCAAAGATTGATGAAGATATAAAAAGACAATGACAGTTCATTGCTTGTTTATAACAGCATTGGGTGATGAGATTTTTGTTCAAGACTATCATCTTGACAAAGTAGTGTTTATTGTCAGTAAAGCTTGAAAAATGAGAAGGCAAAGACCAAGGTTTCCACCAAAGCAGGCAGCCTTCCTTGCTTTGTTAGATCATCTGCATAACCATGGAAAGGCCTCACTCCTGCTGCATCCTAAAATGCTCCTTCAGCTTTCTGCTAGCAAGTGATTGGTGACCCTCACCCTAAAGTGTGTGCTGCTACCAGGACGTGTGTGTTCATGCATGGCTCAGTTCTAAATTTTGGTGACTTCAGTTTCCTTGGAAGCTTGCAGTGCCCCCTGGACTGGGACTGTCAGACCTCTCCATCTTCTTGTGGTTCAAAAGTAGCAAAATGGTTCTGGTTTTCCACTGTGACTGTAAGAATTAAAATGAGTACAAGCTTAATAAATGAAACACCAAAAGTTTTTTTAGCTCTAGGTTTCTGATCACTCTCTCCCCTCTGCACTTGGGATATGCTGGGAATAGGTTTTAAGCAGTATCCAGTTTTGGATGAAGACTTGAATTGTTTTGTATTAAACTGTAAACTTTTTGTTAGTCTTTAGTAACAATACAAAAGAAAACCAAGGCAAAGAAAAACAAACCTGTTGCTGAAGCTCTTTGTTTTTAATTTAGTTTGTTCTTGATGAAGCAGATTGTGGAGTGGTCTGGAATTCACTTACCTCTCCAGTTCTCTCATCACCCCATGACACATGTTACATCAGCCTGGGGCTGGTTTAATCTCAACCAGCTGCTATTTTTCCCCTCGTAGACGTGCAGAGCAGATGGAGTTTGCTGGCCTGTGCTGCACTGTGGCCATCCTCATACCCCAGGAGGTACCAGCCTGTTCCCCCTCTCCTCCTCCTCCCTGCCCTGACATCACATGTGCCAGGTGTGCACACCTTGCTGCAGGAGCTGTGCAGAGATGCTGGTGCAGACTTTTGTGACCCATTTGTAAGGCTGAAGTTTGAGGGAATGTTGCCTTTACCTGAGCACCGTGCTTATATTCTGCTCCTGCTCAGTGGAACAGTAAAGGTGTGTGGATAACTTGGACTGAAATTAATGTGACTTAATTATAAGCTTAATTATAAGCTTCAGTAGGTTGCTGGATGGGACTGTAACCTCAAAATCACTGCTTCCCTGAGGGGCAAGCTGGGCAACTTGAGCTTCTGGAGCAGAGACAAGTCCTTTGCAGATGACTCATACTTGAGGTTTGACTTTTCAACATGGTTTTTAAAATAAAACCATTTTATATGGAATCTAAATTTAAAACGATTTCTGATGTACCTTGCAGTGTATTGCTTTTCCAGAATCTATTTCATTTTCCTGCTCTTATTTTAGTGCTATATTGTTGTCTTTGCACAAAGAAATTGCTGTTGACACATGTTTACTATGGATAGTTTCTCTTGTGTGCCCGTAGTAATGATTGGACAGAGCAAACCACTTCATGCCCAATAGAAAGCACACTGATGTGAAGCTTCTAAATTCATCCATAACTTTCAAATATTTCTATAGTTAGTTTGTAAATGATCCTGGCTTTCAGAAGGGCTTTCTGTGTGATGGATGCTTTTTACTTTAAAATAAAATCCATTGCAATCAACCACTCACCATGCTTATGCACCATATGACAAAGCCCAGAGTAAAAAAATGCTTGTGCCAAAAATTGTTTTTTCTTCTTTTCTGTATAGTTTTGCTGGTACTTTCATTTTCATGGTAAAGTACTATTTCAGAAAAGTGGTAGTGTGACTGCTGATAAATTTTAGCCCAATCATATATACATAGTCCTTTTATTATCATGTGCAGTTTTCATGGTATATCCTTTTTTTTTCCTCTGTGAATTTTAATTCAACCTTAGCATACATTGGGAAGAAATATTTTCGTACTGTTTATTATTCCTGAAACTGTCATCAGTGTCACTTCTAGCTCAGGTTTTTCATTGACAAGTGTTAAGAAAAGCCTGTAGATAGAAATTACTGCAAAATATTAAAAGACTCTATTATCTATGGGTGGTACATTGCTTACCTAAAAGTGGGAAATGAAACATACCCTTTACATTATTTTAAAAGGAGTATAAATACCTGTGTCAGAACAATTCTTTAGCAAACTAATGCTCAAAACTCAGACTCAAAGCTCCATATTTCCAGTTATTTGTGACTACAGTGTGCAATTCAAAGTCTATCAGAACACTGAAAACTTACTCCATTTGTTGCAAATGTGAACAAAATGGTTTTGAACTGTTAATTTTTGCTTTCTTAAACAGGTAGCAGCCCCTTGGACAGTCCCAGGAACTTCTCTCCAAATGCACCTGCTCATTTTTCCTTTGTTCCTGCCCGAAGGTAAGGCAAGATCTATTCTCTTTGGCAAGCAAATAGTCTATACACTTTATTTACAAATGGCCTATGGGTTAGAATATTTTTGTTTGTGCTTTACTTTCTTTGATGTCTCCAATTTTATTTTATTTTACTCCTTATGATTACATCTTGGCAGCATCAGAATGTATTAGGTGCTTTTCAGACCTAGAAAAAGATAAAGTAAATTAAGTAGTTAAGGTTGCCTAGGGAAGAGGCAGTGTTCTCCCAGAAGAATGACATGTAGGGCGTGTGATAGGACACATAATTTAGTCAAAATGACATTAAAGCCAGTCATGATTAGGGTAATTGTAACTTAGTTGTAGTCCTAGATGTTGCTCTCCCTGAGGTGTATTGAAAATGTACTGATCTTCTTTGCTATGTTTGCACAAAGATATAAACATACCTTAAATTAGGTGTGCACAACTCTGTGTCTTCATTCCCTGCCTTCTCACTGGTAATGACTCCTGAGTTTTCTCTGCTGTCTTGGGCGTTGTTGTCAAGAGAATATTACTGCTCAATGAGGAAAATAGCTGATAATTGAAATTGCAAGTCTACAAGAACCTCTACAAGAGCAGCACCGAGAGACCCAAATGCAAAGCTGTCATCTGTCCTGCAGCAAGTGCTGGACAGGTGCTGGTCATGGGGTGTATCAAACTGCTGGAAAGAAATCTGATACCACAGTGGTGGATTTAGTGTAAGGAACAGGAAAGAAAGAATAGAGACAGCTGGGAAAAGTGAGAAAATGGTGATTTGAATGTTGAATCCCAGCAGGTAGGCAGAAATGGATAATGATGCAGGAAGTTAAATTTTGTGAGGAAGAAAGAATAGGGAAATTAGAGAGCTCCCAAGCAGGTTTTGTGCATAGGAGGTGGGTTATTAGATTCAAGTGTGAGGAAGGTATTTTGGATTTGTTAAACTCTGCCTTAGCTGAAAAAAAACTATCAGTGTTAAAATGATCTGGGAATGAGAAATGTGTGATCATCCTGAGAGGAAGTAAGTTGTCTGAGAAAAACAGATTTAGCTTGAGGACTAGTTTGAAAAAATGCTAAATCTCAAAACTTCAAAGAAGAATAAAGGGTTAGGATTTGATGGAATAAGGTACAGTCTTTATCTGAATGGCAGGAAAATCCTGGAGCATTTCTCCATTGAGGTGATTTGCTAGAGGACCTGGTATCCTTGAATTCTGTTTGAAGCAGACTTTGGTTTTCTGGTCTTGTGTAAGAAAATGATTTTTAATAGCACATGAAATGTAAGAGACGGGATATGTATTTTCCTGTTGCCTCAGAGGGAAAATGACTGCTTTTACCTGCTGGTTAAACAATTGAAATGGACTTACCCACATTTGTTTTTAAAGCCTGATCTGGGTATATTCAATAAGCTCTGTTGAAGTCAACTGAACTTTTACCAGTTTTCACTGTATCTGAAGTATCTCACAGGAGTTCTGGATCCTGGAAAACAGTAGAAAAGTTGCAGCAGAGACAGAGGTTATTGTCAAAGCTTAACGTAATTTTTCACCATCATGTTTCAACTCGATCCTTCAATATGGCTTTCTAAAAGTTCAAACCGCAAATAAATGTTTTAATAATAAAACTCCGAAGAGTGCCCTTTCATACTTTTCCACTTTTTAAATTTGATTTTTAAAGAAATAGGTAAATAAAGGTTAAGCCTATCCTATTGAGTACAGTGGTTCATTTTATAGTATCCATGTTCGTCTCTATACTTTTTCTGCCAGGGAAAAAGAACACTTAAGTAGTGCTTGTTTTAGAACCCTGTTTCTATTTTCTGCTTGCATTACAGGCTGAATAGCTATGCCAGCAGTAATAACAGATACATACTAAATTACCCCATACTGGTATCAGAATAACTTCTATATGATGGAATTAAGGAATTACAAGTGTGATGCCAGAGAAATGGATATTTCACAGTACCCTTTTCATTGCCATTGTGTGGGGCTTAAGAGATGGCCCTTGCCTGATTTCCTGCCATTGCCATCACAGGAATTACTTGTTGCTGTTTTTCTACCTTTTATTAGTGTTGTAATTTCTTCATTTATTATCCTGTTTGGACATAATTTGTGATTTCCATTCTTTCATTATGGTCCTGTGATGAGATATTTCTTGAGATGGAATACGAAACTTGTTTGGAAAGCTTGTGTTATTGTAAAGTCATTACAATTTACTGCAAGATTGTCCTTAGTGTGACTTTTAATTAACCATAAATCCCTTGTTAGATACCCTTTCAGTGGTTGTGTCATAGCCACAACATGGGCAGGAATCCTCCTGTTGGAATAAGGAAATGTATGGTTGATTCTGCTCATACTCACTAAAAGTGATCTTGGAGGAATACCAGTAACAGAAGATGAAGGTTTTTTTTCAGAAATCAAGTGCATCATTTCCTTCTCCCTCTCTCATAATTATTGTACAATTTTTTCCACACAGCCATGGACACAGAGCAGACAGGTAATGTGTATCCCATTGCTGCTGTTTGTGTGTGTGTGAACTGTGCTTCTGTGCAGCTAAGCACGTGTCCCTAACAAGTTCATGCTGTAGCAACCCCATTTAGGCATTCAGCTTCTAGTCTTAGTAACAGAAACAGAAAATCTTTACATTTGGGCTTAAAATGATAAACAGGTAGAGCTCTGGAGAAGATGTGTTCTTTGTCTAACTCCTATTTTTAAATCGATCTGCTTCTTAATGAAATAGCATTTAGCTGCCATGAAAACACCTCCATATTTAACTAATTAAAATGTCATTTTAGAGGCAAAATTTGTTTGCATGCCTTTGAGCTAGCAAAGCATCTATAATAAACAAAAACCCTGAAGATTTCATTCCAAGTGTCTTATTCTGAAGTAATATTGCATGTTGTCTCTCTAAAAATATGTTTATTAACAATGCACTGAAGCATTTTGAAATGCTTTGCATAAATACAGGAGGAATTTGCTTTTAAAGTATTTTCTCCTTCCTTGATATTGAAGATTTTCACTCTTGTCCCACTTTGTTCTGCTAGAGTAGAGCTGATATATTTGTACTGAGTCCATAGCACATTGCTTGCCTAGATTGCATCAGCAGTAAACAGCCTAAGCATGTAGGGGTATTCTGGAATTTTCCAATTGAGCAAGATATTTTCTTTTAACTTAAAAGAAAAACAAAAATTTCAAAATAAAAATTCTGAAGTTACTTCAATACACCATTTAGGTAATTCAGTTAAAAAAAAAAAAGCAAAAACAAAAATCAAGCTTTTCTTTTGCAAGAAATGAGCAACTTGTGCAGCAAGCAACAGAGTGTTTTGCTCTGGGACTGAGGATCCAAAGTGAGGTTGAATCATTGATCTAAATGTTTCCCCAGTGCCCCCGTATGTTACAAGAAACTCAATGAAGATTATTGAAGTTTGCTGTTCAATCCCTTACCACAGCATGCAACAACTTTGTAATGCTGATAGTTGTTGTTTTTCAGGGTTAAGAAAGGAATTCCATTTCACTTGAAATAATTTAGAGATTGTTCTTTTACATTTAATTGTCTTGCCAGAGAAAACATCACCTGTGGCTAAATGGGGTTTAGCTGTAACATAGGCATGCAATAAAAATCTGCATTACAGACTTATTCTTTTTTTAATGCATGAAGCATGATTCTTTTTAAAACTCTGTTGACATAATATTCTTTCAGTGATGTGGAACAGTGAGTTTATTTCCCTGTCATTCTAAGATAGATAGCAGAGTGGTGTGTATCAGTGCCTGAAAATAAAAGGAACTAGAGCTGGAAAAACGGTAAACAGAGATTTTTGTCTTGGTGGGCACTGAACCTTTTTCTGGAGATGAGCCTTCATGGGTATGGATAGTGGGATGAGAAATATTACTGTGAAGATAACAGTTGAGGCTTTTATAATCACTATTTTGGACCTGTACCAAATCTCTTACTTTATAATGCACTTGCATAAATGCACTGTATCTGTGTGTACCAAAAACCCCCATATCTCTCCAAAGTGAGTTAGAACTGTTCTAATTCAGCTTCATGTTGTGACCAGTTACTGATAATCTGCTGCAAGAAAAACCCCAAGCAAATGGAAACTGATGTAAGGAGGAGACTTTTAGCATCCATCCCATTGTGCAACAGGATATGGTTGTCCATTTCAAGGACACAATATGAGGAAAAATAGATCAGAGACAGAAAAAGTGCTGTGAGACTGAGCTGTATGCAGTTCAGTTTCCATCCTCACTGAGGGTGGGTTTTGAAGAGGAAGAGAGTTTCAGGGAGGGCAACACTGATTCTTCTCAAAGCTTTTGTGTAGTTCCTCAATTTCTCAGTTTTGATACTGGCAAAACAAGACCTTTCTGCAATATCTCCACAATGTTTTGGATGTTTTCCCTGAGGGGCATGTTTATTTGGCTACAATAGGGAAATAAGTAGTAGTGTTATACTGACTGGAGGAGAAAGGACCCTAGGTGAGTTTTCTGTGACTTATGCATGTATTTGGAGTGGGCCCCTTGGCTCTGTTCCCATCTGCTGTTGTGGGTTTAATTTTCCAGCCATGCCAGGCAATGTGCTAGGCAGAATGCCCTCGGAGTAGGTAAACAGATTAATCTGCTTTCAGTTGATTCTTGATCTAATGTGATTTTTTTGTCCTCAGTCTGAATCTTCCTTTGGAAGACAATGAGCTGCATAAGTTAAGCATCAGTGTCTTTTTCAAAGAAGTTTCAAGGACCTGTTTTTATGTGTCTGTTTTGTACAAGTACAAAGCATCTACTTAATGCAGGATTCTGGTGCCCCTTTGCTTTAGCTTTTCTGAAGTCACCTAGTTTTGCTTTTTAAACTTACTCTAATTGCTTTTCCACGAATGTGATTCTAAACAGGATACCTGATTTATCTGAATAACTCAAGACATTAATAAAAGCATGAGGTTAGGAGATACAGAGGAGAAAATTGCTTATTTCTCTCAAGAATTAGCCACCCTATGTTCCTGACTGTAATTTCCCTTGTGTCTTTTCCCCAGAACGGATGGACGCCGCTGGTCCTTGGCCTCCCTTCCCTCGTCTGGATATGGAACAAACACTCCCAGTTCAACAGTTTCAGTAAGTGACACAGACTTTTCCAAGCAATTCAGTTTCTACAAATACACCCTAACAAATCAGCTTCTGAGTTTCTACTAAAATACTGGATCTTTCTTCATTGTTTTGCTAACATTATTTAATATACTAATTATTTTAAAAATTATTTTACTTATTGGTTCTGCTGCTTTTTCCTCCATTTCCCAGCTCCTATCATCTTGCACTTTGCCTTTAGCATTGGTGAAATCCCAATGCAGCACTTGGCTCAAGTGATCATTTGAGAGGCACAAAGTCTCCAAAATGGCAGGACTCAGAGATATAGTGCACAAATACCTTTCAGCTTTTTGTAACTGGGAAATGAAATTCTTGTCTGCTTTCAAGTACTTAGTCTGAAAACCTCTGCTACCAGGCTAGCAGAAAGAAAAATTGATAAGCCACATCTGTTATTCAACTCCAATAACTTGAACCTCCTAATGAAGCTTTTCAGTTCTTACACCCATCATTAAAAAGGCTGGCTGCAGTTTGCTTGAGTTCTGTCAGCAATACCACTAAACTGGCAGCACCATGTTATCCCTTCTAACTCTGACATGCTTCCTAAAATGAATCTTACTCTTCAGTTTAAATCAGCTAGGCATTGTGCTTATCCACATGAGAAACTTGCAAAGACAAACATGGAAACATTAGAACTATAAAGTACAGACTTAATGTAACATGCTTTTGTATGTGTCTTATGGTGTCTTCAACTGTGTGTAACAAATCACTGCCTCTTTCCATAATACTGATCATTTGGTTTTGTATTAATTATTTAGAGTACGTTCCTAATAATTGTAACACCTTCATTAATTAGTTCTCAGTTCTACACGTTATGCAAATTTTACACTGTATCATTGTTTTCCTTGTGAACTGTTCTAAGTTCATCCATAAACTTCCTAGTGCCTCTCAAACACAAATTTATGAGGTTTTTTGGAGGTGAATGTTCAATTCAGTCTATCAAGAAAAAGAAGAAATTGGGGTCAAAAGTTTCCTTTTAGTATAAATTGATATGATTAAAATTTGATTCTGCAATGTTAATCTTATCTCTATAACTTCATTTCTTCAGACATTCTTGCAAACTCTAGTTCACACAATTTCTACCATTTGTTATCTTTTGAACTTCAAGACAGTTATTTTCTTTTTGAATTTGGGGTGCTTTTTGTCTCTGTAGAAGGCAGGTGACTTGATTTCAATGTGCATGCAGATACATGGGCAGGAGCACAGAAAAATGTACATAAAAAAGATGTCCCTGGTTTCACTGCTACACATTATTATATATTCAAGCACTCGAGAGCAACTGTTAAAACAGGGCTCTGCTTTGGCCTTTATAGTCTTAGGTTAAATCTTTATGGGCATAATCCATGTTTAAGTCCTCTTCTGGGAGCAAGCTATGGGAGCATGGAACAAGTACAGTTTCCATATGGATGACATGCAAATTGGCTTGGTCATTGGTAGTCACTGTGACAGCTTCCAATTTGCTAGGGAAGATGACACCTTTGGAGGCTAAACTGTAGTTTTTCAAGAGTTTGTAGTTTGATCAGATTTAAGGTGGATGCCCATGGAGGGGGAAGAAGAAACACCAAAATGTGTTGGAAATATAAGTTCTTGCTTTGAAGTCGGGACATCAAGGCCACTGTTAGAAAGTTCTCAGCTTTCTGGCATGGGAAATAAAGCATATTTGTTTCTTGTCGTGTTCCCAGAAATAGATAGATCATTTTGATTGATGTTTTCCCATTAAAAAAAAAACAACAATCCAACAAATCTGAGATAGACATGTCACATAGAAAGCATCAGTTCAAATGATAATTTTTCAAAGTGTAAATAACAGGGAAGTGTAATGAGAAGCATGAAGTGATAGTTGTAGTTAGATCTGAATTCAGCTTCATACAGGAAATAGGTTGAAACATGTAATTCCAAGACTTTTTTTTCCTAAGTGACTAAGTTTCTCATCTCTAGTCTTTTTGCTGGTTCAGTAGTAGAAAGACATTGAAATGGGCTGTTTAGTAATGATGCAGTTTTAGTGATGCAATTGTTGGAGCTATTAAACCTGGTATTACATTTCTAGGCCAATCCTATTATCTCTGTATTTCATAGATTAGAATTAATTTGAATTGATCTGAATAACACCTCTAAAGTTGATAAGCAGTGTTATTCCTTCATAGACTTTTAAACTGAAGTAAGAGGAGTGAAGGGGCTTGGAAAAGGACACTATGAATTAGTGCTGCAGATATGAATTTAACAGAAGTTTGGACTCCCATTTCATATGATCAGTCCTCAAGATTGTGTTTCTTTCTCAAGCAAGATAAAGGAAGCCACTAGACCTTTGCTCTGGTGTATGTGCCAGTAGGAAATGAAATATCAAGAAGAGCACGGTCCATTCTGTGTCCTGCTGGTTGAGTTTTTGTATGAGAGCAAGAGCTGAGCCTCATCTCTGTGATCACAGATCACCTGCTGTACCAACCTACAGAACAATCCAAGGTATTCACCTAGTCTAAGGTCAGTGAGAACCTGTAGATTCTGCTTTATTTTTTGCTTCTAAATGAGGGATGACTCTTCAATCAAAACCAAACCACATTTAACCTTTCTGTACAAATCATGAAGACCGAATATATCATCAGGCCAACACTGAAAAAGCTGGACAAGACCTTTCAAGTTAGGTGAACATAAAATAATCAGTTACATGGGCCAGTTAAACAGTTAATCTGCTATTCATTTTCTAGATGCAGAGTTAGTTTATAAGCAACTGTAATATAGATTTTTTTTTTTTTTAATGGTGAAGAGTTGGCTAATTCTGCATCTGTAATTAAGACACCAGGGGGATATTTGTATTAGTCTGCTGCAAATATTGAGCACTGTGATGTGATTACCTGAAAATCAATACTTCAGAAATGTTTCACTTTGCTTTCATGCTTTTTCATTGAAAGGTTGTACACCTTAATACTGCTAGAGAAGCCCTTGGCAGAGAAAAGTCCATGGTCTTTATCTTCTGGGTCTTCATTAATTATTCTCTGGAATTCTAAACTTTGTGATCTGATTGCTTTTAGTGAGAGGAAGTAGAGTGAGGATTTTGCTGGGCTGTCCGTGGCTGGACTAGCACTGCTTCCCCAGGGATTTTGCTGTTGGGAAACATAAAGTTTTTAATGATTATAAGTTTTGATTTTTTTTTCTTCTAATTCGAGTAACTATGTGCTAAACTTCCTTAATTTGTTTTGAATCAGACATGTATTTGCAGTGCCAGAACTTGTGTACCTGTGCAGGTTTTTAAGTGTCTTTAGTACTCCTGCTCCACTGCAGGATCTCTGTTATTCAGCATGAATGGGATTTCAGCTGCCACCTAACTTCTTCTTTGAGGTTTTTTTCATAGGCAGGTTCTTCTTCCTGCTCCTTGTATTGTTTGAGACATAAACAAAGACATCAATGAAGTCCCTGAAAATCAAAACAGGACTTGTATAATTCTGTACTTAAGGGAGACAATAGTCATGTATTTGGCAAAAACAGTTTGAGCAGCAGAACAGCTGTGGGCAAAGGGGCAAATACCCACACTCTGTCTTGGCTTCAGTGTGGAACAGATCAGTGTAAACTGATACACCAGCAGGGTAAACATCAGTGTGTGCACACTGGGCTGGAACTGACTTCTCAACATGGTCTGAAAGAAAATGTTGGAAGTTGTGGCTTCCATTTCCAGGCAACTTGGGAAGTTCATGCACATCCCAAAACTCCCAAGGGGGTTCTTTTCTGTAAATGCCTCTGTGAGAGGGGATCTGGAGCCAATAAATTTTTAATCTAAAATAGGATCTTTAGGTTGATAGGTTCTTATGATTTTCTGTTGTTTACAATACTTGGAGTAACTACAGTGCATTCTATGTGGCTTGTTTATCTCAGATTTGTTGGTTCGTTGGGTTTTTTCCCTCAGAAAATGTCAATCCAAATGATCTAGCAATATGGCAAGAGACAGATATGCTTTCTTTCCCATGCTAGGTAAGTTAAAACTTTGGTCATATGTGTTATATCCTGTATAACTCCCTCCTACCAATACTTCTGGTACTAGGGTATGGTGCTTCCAGTCTAAGTGAGGGTTGTTCTAGCAAGAGAAAAAGTTTTTCTGCTGGAAGAGTGTACATAATTAATTTCATCAGATAATAAGGAGCTATGGAACTTAGGTCAGGGTGATGTTTTTAATAAGGCCCACTGGTGTTGTTCAGTGCTACTCTGATTATTCAGCACCTTTTTTCATTTTCTCTTTTGTTTCTAAAGAGAATTTTTAATTTGTCCTTACCTAATTTATTTTCTTACTTCTCTAAAATGGAAAGGGGCATTGAAGAATCACACACACAAAAAATCCATTTGTTAATTGACCTTCAGCTTTTTCCCCTGGAATGTCCAACTTTGATGTTATTAGCATTTCCCAGAAATATTTCTTTCAATCTCAGGTTTTATGAGGTTCACGAATTAAAACAGTTTTATGTCTATTATTATCACAGGACATGTGACATATAAAGGCATCAACTTATTTACAAAAATAAGATGTTTAACTCACTAACAAGAAACTTTGTTAATCTTAAAACAAAGTCAAGACTTGACTTTATTACTGCTTCCCTGGTTAGAGAAGAAGCCTGATGGGTAATGAAAAGGAGAAATAAAATCTTGACCATTTACAATAGCAATTTCCAGTGAGAGCCAATAACCAGCAGAAAACTCTTACATCTACACAGCTCCATAGCATTCTGCATGCCAGTGAAACTCCTGAGCTAAGAGAACACGAGGGAAAAGGAAAGAAAGTTGCTCACCACTCCAGGAACCTCCTTGTCCTTTCCAGACGGTGCTGGTACTCACGTGCCTTCCTTGCTGTCTCCTGACAGTAAATTATCTGCATGATCAGATGTACTGGCTTCAGAATCAGATATAGTGGTTCCCTAACCCTCTCCCAAAGTTTTCCTGATCTCACCAGCTCTGTCATTGAATGTGAGGGTTGGCTTAGCCTAATGAGAACAATAAAAAGAGGCACCTGGTCTGATAAATAGCTTTCTTTTCCGCTGGAGTGCGCAGTGTCTGGCAGAATCCGTTCCTCTTCCATTCATTAGCTGACCCCTATGCATGCGATTAGTGCATTTCTTTTCTGTATTTTTTTCTGTACTCAGTCATCATGCTCATCTCAGGAGAAGCTGCACCAGCTGCCCTTTCAGCCCACGGCAGATGAACTTCATTTCCTGACAAAGCATTTCAGTACTGAGAGCATCACTGATGAGGAAGGGCGCCATTCTCCAGCCTTGAGGCCTCGATCTCGCAGTCTCAGGTGAGCTTTGGATCGCTTGTTGAATTTTTAACATGTTGCACATATTTATTGCATTTCTATATGTGCTTTCAGATCTAAGAGTAGCCATTTGTAATTGCTTTGTTACATGTTTTTGAAACTATTTCAATCAACATTTAGCTCAACTCATCTGATCACAAAGGATTTTTTTCCTCACATTTGATGTTGAGCTTTTGGATTGCAAAGTGGTTGGTATACTGTGCTTTTGTATTTTCACAATAACTCTATGAAAACATGATCCACAAGTGTCTCAAACTCAATGCATAGGATGTAGATTTTTTTAGTGAAGTTTCTTCTCAGAATTTTGCTACAATGTCACAAGGATGTGGTTATAACCACTTTTAATAACTTTTCTCTCAGTGTTTCTGAAGGAGCGTGAAAACCAGAACAGATAAACTCAAAGCCTCAAACTGAATTGCACCCCAGCACAATTTCTTTTGCATTAATAGTTGAATAATTTTACTGTTGCTTCAGAGAACTGGTTGTTCAAAGATAACTATCCAGGGTTATCTCCTTATGTAGTTGATTTTTCCATACATAAAACCAGAAGCAACTAGAATTTAATCCTTCACAGAATTACAGAATGGCTGAGATTAGAAAGAATCTCTGGAGGTCATCCTGTGCAAAGCCCTGTCATGCCATATGTCATTTAATATGCCTTTTTTTAATGCCGAGGATCATATCCATATGGCTTTTTAATATCTCCAAGGACAGAGATTCCACAAACACTCTGGGCAATGTTTCTTGCAGATCTCTAACAGTTATATGGAATAAATCCACAAACAGTTTATATCATGGCAAAAGCCTCAAGTTTTGTTATGCCTCTACTGCTAGACCAGGTGAATGAAAGTCTAGGGATAGTCTAGACACACCTTGTGAAAGAAAAGGGTTTTTACAAGCAGGGTTGAAGGAGCTGAAGTCTTCATTGATCTGAGCATGTCGGAGGTGGATATTACCTTTAAGTTAATAGACAATATTCAAAAACTCTACCAGCTGGAATTGGCGAATCAGTGTGCCCAGCTCAGAACTTGGGTGGGAATTTGTAAAAGGAGGAAGTGAAACGGGCCAGGATAATAACAAAACCCATGGTGAATATCACGTTATGGCAGAGCTGACCTTTCACATTTATTTGTAATTATTTGTATGTTCTGAACTTCAGTGCAGGCTGCATGGTAATTGCATATGGAAGTGCTAAGTGTAGTTCCACAGTAATCTACAGGAGCAGGTGAGTGCTGTGGGCAGTGGCACACTTAGCCAGCAACCTCCTCAGTGCCATGCAGTGAAAGACTAATTATAAATTCTGTACTGAGTCCCTTTGAACAACAGTCCCTTTGAGTCCTCATGCTGTCACTCCTAGCACTGACCCCTGCTGAGTAGTGTAGCTGTAGTGCTGCTAATTCTCTAGAGGTGAGGCAGCTCCTCATGCCAAAGTAATGATTGTTCTTTAATACAGGACTACTCCTGTTGTAGAAGACACTTTTGCTAATGCAAGAATGATATAAATGAAGAGCTCAATTTTATTTTATGATATACACGAAGAGCCCATGATATACCATGTGAAGAGCCCAATTTTATTTTCTTCCTTGTCAATATGGGTTATCAGGTTGCAGAGAATTTTGCCTCTGTGAGCGGATTTGAAGCAGACTGATCATGGAGTAGGTTTATAATTTGTGGTGGGATGAGATTAATTCAGTGTATCATATAACTGATTAATCTTCTTCCTCTCTTGAATACCTTTTCTGGCTCTCTCACTGGTTTGTAGTGGGGTAATGTCCAGCCTTATTGGTATTCCAAGGCTTAGAATGAAATAATTTAATTTTTTCAGCTCACTATGCCTCATTTGGTTTTCATTTTGCTTATTGCCAGTACTATGATGCTGCATGACTCTAAAGCTCCCTTGCCACTACCAGGCATTTGTGCTGGCCCTTGCATCTCCAAGGAAAATGGATAGGTCAATCCAACCAACTGGAGCAATGTCTGCAGGAGCAAAACCCTTCTTTGACAGAGGGCAGCCTGTGTTTGTAAACAAACAAGTACTGAAATACATGAAGAGCAGACATTGTTCACTGCACAAAGCTTGCTTATTTATTTGCTCACATTTTAGAGTTACCTCACTTGGTGAGAAGATATTTTCACTTTCTTAAAAAATAAAAGCTGAGAACAGCTTTTGTTTTCCAACATTAAATTAAGTTAAGCAATAATTTCCTAAAAATGTATTTTTTCATTCAGTGGTCTTGTTTGATGAGCTTTAATGAAAAGCAGATGAACAAAATACATCAGACATTTCCCTTAATTGGCAGCCATGGCTTTGTAATTTAAAAGATGGTGTCATTGTTAGTGTGCATTCCTTTTCCATCCTATATGACTGCAGCCTTACATCTCTTTTTGAGAAAGGAACTGGCATTTTGAAATGTCACTGTTAAATGCTGGGACTATTTTTTTGTCTCTGTAACCCAAGATTTTTGTTTTAGAAGTGTCAGATGTTCCTTTTATGCTCCTAGGTATGGAATATTGCCTAGATGTAACTTCTGGAAAAATATACTTACTTCTTTGGCTAGAAATGTACCTAGCTGCAAATATTCTGTTCATACAGAGCACTCTTAATGATCAAACTGGATGATAAAACTGACAAAGTGTGCAGTCATGGAGGGTGCACTGACAGGTTGGTAGCACCTCTGCCTTGCTTGAGGTGTTCTACCAGCGTGCCTTGAAGATACTCATCTTGTATTTAATCATGCCTTACTTGAAATGCCTGGAATTTCTGCCCTGAAGAAATGGCACTGGTTCTTCCCCAACTGCTTTCCTGTGCAGGGAGAAGGAGGGAACAGAGACCAGCACTGGAATGCCAAGGTGTAATGTCCTTATAAAGCTGCTTGCAAAATCCAGGAGCCTGTTCTCTCACCTGTCTCAAAACGATCCAGTACTCAAATGCTCAGTCAAAGAATGTATTTCCATGTGAGCCACGTGTTTTGGTGCTTGTATTTCTTTATTACCTGCAGAAGTAGTTCCTAAATATCATCTCTCAGCTATTCTCTTTTTAATTTTTTTTTTAATTAATAATGCAACCTTCAAATCCTTCAAGTTATTGACCAACAGAGAGATCTCCAGGCTGCATTTGTTTTGTTTAGATCAATCCTGGGCTTTACCTGAACAAGATCTTTTCTCCCTGGAGTAAAACACATGAAAAGTTGTGAATATTTGCACTAAACTTGGCATCTTTACTCTTTTTAAGTTAGAGAGATGCTGCCTTCCATCTTTTCCCAGTTCTCTTTACTTGTCATCTTTAGCAGTTGTTCACATGGGGGAATGTGTGGAGAATGTCAGAGATAAAAGTAGAGTTAACTAATAATGACTTTTTCAGGAGCTACCTTTGTGCAGTCACTCAGCCTACCAATCTGCCCATTTTTCTTGATCTCTTTTTGTATTTCAGGGTAATGTTGTCTAGGTAAAAAGGGCTGAAGATTGTTGCAGTGAATTTTTATATAGCTGAAGTAGATGAGATCATCCTTCTTCATCTCTTTGCTGGGTAGTGCTTTTAAAATGCAATCCACAGCCTGACTTTTAGCACACTGGATCCTGCCATTAAGAATATACAGACAAAACTCCTGGAAAATACTAAAAAAGATTCCTGATGATGAAATGCCCAAGAAGGAATAGGTGTTGTGAAAACCGGGGGCCTGCATAGTCCATTTTTATCTTTCATCCTGCAGGCTGTGGGGCTCTCTCATCTCAGTGCACTTCAGAGGCAGCTTTAAGCACTTGAGTAATCGTGGTGGGTTCATCCCTTCATGCTGCTCTCAGACAGTGCCATCCACCACCAGCTGTGGAGCAGGGATTCACACCCCCATGGATTTGGGGAAGGATAATAGTTTTATATTCTACAGCACAAAGCATCTGTTCCTTCTGAAAATACATTCTAACTGCATCACAGATAATGTTTGTCTCTTTTCTTCCTCTCTCAGTCCTGTGAACTTGACTTAAAAAGGTTCTTCAAAATAATTGGTTTTAAATTTATTAACTTTTGGGTTCACTCACCATTTTTGTGGTTTTCTGTTATGAAGAAAACTGGGTATTCTTATTTGTGCTTTGCAGTGCTTATTACTCCAGCTTCGTTTTCATTCTAAAGCAGTCTTGGTCTTTGCTGGCATGCATAAAACCCCTGAAATATTGGAAAGAAGTTGCAGCCCTTGCTGCTGGGGGAGTTTTCTAACTTTTAGTATTATTACTAAAGATTTTAGTATTATTATTACCTCAAAGATTTAAATATTTATTTCTTGGGAGAAGAGGAAGGCTCACCTTCAGCAGAAGGCTTATCTTAGTGCCTACTTTATCCAACTTTAGCTCTCTAGTTTTCAAATTCCTTATTTTGTGTGTCTGGAAATGACAGAAGATTAAAGCCTATAGTTTTAAGTTTCCTTAAAATCCATGAGAATGGACTTTGGCCATGTCCTGTAAATACAACCTAATTAAACCTTTATATACAAGGTGAAAGCAGAGGGAAGCACAGTGCTTTTAGCTTTTTCCAAATAAATACAGCTATCACAGTGAAGGAAAAATTACATATTCATAAATATCTAACTTTTATTTAGTCACACTTAAACTAGATTTTGTAAGATTTAAGTTATTGTGTAAATGTTGCTCCTTGAAATAGCTGTTTATAAGCTATTTTCACTTTCAAGCATCAGATAAGGTCACATGAGTTTTGACAGGTTGAAGGCAACAGAAATCTTCGTGGGAGATGGATATCCCTGAAAATCCAACACCACATTGTCTCATGAAGTGGAGGAAGCGTGAAGAAGGGGAAAAGAGAGAGCAGTTTTTCATTCTGCTGTTAAGCTTAAGGGGACAGATATTATTCTTCTAATGTCTCCTCTGCTGAAATGAAAAACTCACTGACAATAATAATTTCTTTGACCTACCTATCTGCACCAAGAAAAGGGAAGGAGCCTGCCTTTTGTCTTAAAATGTTATGCACGTGCACAGCATGTGTCTTCTGTTTTGCAGAAAATAATCTGTTCCTTTGTGAGGCTTGAAATGTTAGACTGGTTTAGTTCTGTCTGTGAAATTTTTGGTGCTGGATAAATGTGTGAAGCTTTTGCATTTGAAAATATGTCATGCCAGTAAAATGTATTAAACTCCTTTTATCTTTTTTTTTCTAAATTTCCTTTTGTTCTCCCTTGGTGGCATTCAGTTATCTGCCCAGTCCTTGTTCCTTTTTCACCTGGTTGTGTCCCAGAGGTGCTGTAGAGTACCCAGCAGTGCTTGGCAGGCAGCCTTCAGTTAGTTAGTCAGGTATCCAGCTAATTAGTTCCTTAGTTTCCCAAGCTAAGAATCAACATTAAAAATTATGGTGCAGTATATTATATTGCAGTCTTGCTATAGTCATTGCTAGACATTTAATTTGACCTGGTATATTGAGCAAATTTTATTTTGGATGATAATGTGCCCCTTGATCCGAGGTTTTATCCAGAGATTTTTGGGTACTCTGTTGTTTTAGTTGATAAAAAGTGGCATAGATGGGCTTCCAGAGGTGAGAGATAAAACTGCAAATGCCCAAGGAATCTGAGGGATTTTTAAATGTTCACTTTCTTGCCAGTTGGTGTGCACAGAAATTGTTTGGTAAAAAACAAAAGCAAACACAGTAAATTCTCATGTTATGGCTCTCCCTAACGAAATGCTACATCTGCTGGCAGGACAACTCAAGTAGCCTGATTTCTGCATAGCTCTTAATTTCCTGTGTTCATATGAATAAAGTACCTTGAAAGCAAAAGGCAAAATCCCTCATGTTTTATTGTAGCCTAAGACAGCAAATACTTAAGCAAATGTGCAAATTTTAGTGTTAAAATGAAGTATGTGTGTGCCTCGGTATTTCTGTCTAAGTATCAAAGGGCTCATATATACTTGTAATTTATACCTTACTCAGATAACACAGAGAAAAAATATATCAGAGAAAAATAAATCCTTCAGTAACTGTGTTCACCAAGTCCTTCAGCTCCATATGAAGTACCAGTAAACGAGTGTCGTATTTGTGTCAGTGTGTTTGGTCTTAGATAAAAATGTAAAAGGATAGCAGGCTAAATGTGCAGGGGAATTTGCTTATAACTCTGCAATTTCAAAGTTTTTACCAGTATGTTTTAATTATGTCATACATTACATATGAATATAAATGTAAGTTTATTTTAAAAGAAAATTCTCCTTGATTAAAAATAGCTATCTACCAAGCTAAGGGAAGTTGATGAAAATGTCTTTTTACTTGCTATTCATAACATCCAAATCAGTTTTCTTCTTCTTCAACAAAAGGATTCAGTGACAGATTTAATCTGAAGTGCATTTTCTCAAGCTAAGGGATAAACAGTAATAAAAACAAGGCATGATGTAATTAATGGAATTTCTGTACAAGGCATGAAAAGAGTTTGATACTGCTACAGTCTGTGAGCCAATGAGTTAATTTTTTTTTTTAGTTGTTAATATATGTTGCCAAAAGAATGTTTTTGCTCTAAGTAGGTTAGCAGCAAGGTAGTAACTGTAATGCATTCCAAGTTTAAAATGCATTTATTCCATTTAGAGAGATCCATTTCAACCTTCACTAGAAAGTTTGAAATGTTTGAATGCATTCAAGATAAAATTGTATCTTTCGACATAGAGTATTTTTAGCAGTATTTAGTACTCTTTAAGATCATAAAGACAATGATCCTGTGAGATGCCAAATAATTGAAGCCCTTGTTTGTCTTGCACATGGAAACAAGGTAGCTGGAGAAACGAGCTGCTGCAGGCGATCTGTAGCTGGGGATTATCTGCATTACCTCATCCGCCTGTCCTCGGTGGCAGAGTGAGTCAGAGCCCTGCATACCATCAGATGTGATGAAACGAGATGCAACCCTTCTTTAAAAAACCCACCCCAACAGTAACATAAATGCAGCTTGTCAAGATTTAGTGTCCTGGTTTTTTGGTGTGCCTTTAAGTTTCTTGCTAACCTGTGCATAGATGCATATGGATCCATGGTGTAATGTGCATCAAGGGAGTGCAGCGTTCATAAAAGTACTCTGTCCCTGTTGCCTGTGGAATTTATTTCATATGTAAGATTTAGCTGAATAACAGTGCTCATGCAGTATCCTTCAGACAAAGGAAAACAAATCATTGGAACTTCCTTACTTCCTATTGCTCTGCTCCCCTCTGGCACTGGAGACTCCAGAGCTCACTGTGATTCCTGTTGGAGTAGGGCTGCCCCTGCTGCCACAGAGGGCAGTCACAGAATGAGGGCAATAGCAAATGTATGTGCAATAAATGCCCTGGGGTTTTACAAGCTTCTATGTTAGGGTTTGCATTCACTGGAAATAAAATAGGGGGGATTTCTGGCAGAGCCTGTGTGGGGACAGGGATGTCAGCAGTCTCCAGGAGACTGCAGAATGCCACTGCTTGCCAGGATCTTCTCTGAAGTTCAGCATCTGCACATTACTGAAGTGAACTCAAGCTTTTGGAAGGGCTACAGTCAATGTGGCAGCATGGTGATCAGCACTGAGTTTTGAAAAGTTTTGGTGTGATACCTGTAAATGATACATGATTTCTTTTCTCCTCTAGCCCTGGTCGCTCTCCAGTTTCCTTTGACAGTGAAATAATAATGATGAATCATGTGTACAAAGAAAGGTTTCCAAAGGTAAAGAATCACTTTTTGAATAATCCATTCAATGAACTTGTGTCCAAGCTCAGAGTTAGTTTGTAGTGCTGGTTGGAGAAGGAGCCCAGCTCTTACATCTCATTTCCAAGCAGTGCAGTTTGCTGAGAGTTTGAAGCTGCCTCCTCATCTTCATATGTTAATTCTGCAGTAGAAGAAATAGATTTAGTATACATAGAGATTAGGATGGAAAAGGATGAGGTTTTTTTGGTATGTATTTCGTATTTGCTAAATTTTGGTTGTCTTCTATTGGCATAAGAAATTCTCACAAGAGTGAGAAGAAGTGCCATACCTTGGCTTTTTAAAAAGCTGAATATTAAAACCTGTAGAAGCAAATTAAAAGTTAAAATCTCATTGAAATGAGTATAGAAGATTGTGTATCCCACAGCTGTCAATATGGCCATTCCTTCCTGTTCCACCACCAGCAAAAATAGATGTTTCTCTGGAGACAGGATATCAGGGCTTATAGTGATAGAAACGCCGTGTGTTTATTGCTTGGGGCAATGATTTTCAGCTTCCACAGACTTGTCTAAAAGTTCTGAAAACTGCCTCACATCTTACATTCTTTCTTTGGAGACCCAGGGAGGAATACAGCCTCAGGACCAAGATATTTCTATGGTCATTTACATTTTCAGAAAGCATGTTTTGATTAATTTTAGTTGTTTACTTATGTGAACATAACTTTTGCTTCTGATGTGCTATCATTATTCTCAGAAAACGCTGCTGTGTTTTGAAATATTTTGAAAGCCTCATGCAGTTTGGTATTGCAAATGTTACTTTAGCATCCTATTTGTTTATGCTTTAAGGTCTGCATAAGTAAAATTCAGGAGTAATTTCTCTTTATTTTGCCCTTTTAGGCCACGGCACAGATGGAAGAACGGCTGGCTGAGTTTATTGCCTCGAATGCTCCAGAGAACGTGCTGCAATTAGCGGATGGGGTCCTAAGTTTCATTCATCATCAAGTTATTGAACTGGCCAGAGATTGCCTAGATAAATCACGTGAAGGTCTTATTACTTCTCGGTACTTTTATGAGCTGCAGGAAAACTTAGAGAAACTTCTTCAGGATGTAAGTTCCCTCTGGAAAGTAGAATATGTTATTTTGATTGAGACTTTAACCAATAAGGCAGAGCTCTGATTTTAGGAGAGACAGTGTGGGTTCCAGGTGAGGGGCAGCAGGTGAGGGGTGTCAGGAGATCTGAGATGTTCCAGTCTCCTGTTGATCTGCTGTAGGTGGATTTGAGTAAATCACTTCACCTGTGAACTTTGATTGTACAGCAATTAAATGTGACTATGAGTAAGTCAAAGGCAGTCTTTACCATTAATGAAAATGGGTTTATTCAGATGAACAAAATTACTGAAATCTTTTCTCATGAGCTTCAGGACTCTGAATGACTTATTAATTACAATAGTGCCTTCAAGGAGCAAAAACATCACAGATATTAGTGTTGCTGTAAATTTTTCACAAAAGACTTTCTTGGGTTGAACTTAATCCAGTTGTGGATTTTTAGTACTTGGATGTGTTTTGTGGCATTCAAAGCATATGGAAATACACAAGGGGGCGTAATTTTAATGCATTCTCGGTATGCTTCAGCTACTCATTAAAAATTGCTCTTTCCCCTTAAAAACAGTATTAAATTTCAAACATCTCTTAGTATTTATGCTGTAACTGTTGTGAAGAGTCCGTGCTATTGCCAATTGCTGCGTCCAGACCTCTGTTTAGGAATATCTTCCTTATCCTCTCCTATAATGATACAGAAAGCTGAAAAGCTGGTTTTGTAGATTGCATTATCAGATAGCAAATACCACAGAGACACCTGGAAACAGAACATCTTAAATACTTTGTTTTCTGTTATGATTTTAATTTAATTATATCTTTACTGATCAATTTGCCAACCCACTGGTATGAATTGCACTAGCTTGTGTCCCTTTGCCACTCTTTTTAGATATTAGAAAAAGGCAGATGAGTAAAAACACTATATTAATATACAATCATTGCATTAAAAAGTTTTGTGAAAACTGCAGGAATTTCCCTTGTATCAGCTAAATTTTTTGGCTATCCCATTTATGTAAATGTGGCTGTAATTTTTCTGGTATTTGTTATGCTTGAGAGAAAAATGAGTCATGTTTGGATCTGTGGTGTTCTGCTTAGGGAATATAATTTTGACAGACCAAGAGAGATAGGGAATATCTTTTGAGGGGCTATATGATTGTCTGCCTACAGGATATCAGTAACCACTTGTGGATCCCCCTTGTATCTCTAAAGTCTGGAAGCAGGGTATTTGCACATGCCAGCTGTGAAATAAGGGATCAGGTCTCTTTGGGTGATGGTTTGGAAGTTGGGAAGTTTTCATTAAAAGTGACTTTGTATGCTCAGCAAAATCCCTTACGTTTCAGGGGCACAAGGGGCCTACACTGTGTTTTACTGCTTCTGGTAGCAGATTCTTGGAGCCTGAAAATCTCCTCCCTGACTTTCCTCCTCTGTGTGTGAACAGTGATTTCTTACACCATAAGGGACTGAGAGAGCCATAAATTAGGGCTGGCCACTTCCAGTCTGCATTTTCAGTCCTGTCTTCTGGCCTGAAGAGGTTAATCAGGGTCTCGGAGGAGGTGTGGGTCAGATAAATCAGCTTTTTCCTTTTCTCCCCTTCCCCTCAGAACAAGTCCTCAAAATGCACTTCTTAAATGTCCCTTCCCCCTTGATCCTACAGGTATTATCCTGCTGCTCTGAAATACTGGGAAAGGTGTCATTGAACAGTGATTAGAGGAGATACAATGGTCATCTCAGAGCTTGTTCAGGAATTGTCTTTTGGGGCTTTCTTTGCTCTCTTCTGCAAAGCAGGAGTGAGAGAAAGGTCAGCTCTTCAGTTTGATTGATTTACTGTAGGAAGTAAGGTGGGCTAGAGGTGATTAAAAGGAAAGTTTAGAGAGACATGGGAGGCACAACAGGCTGGGAAGGAAGAGAACAAAGACATTAAAGACATTGGAGAAAGCCAAAAGCTTAATTCCACATCCTTCTCATTTGATTTTTTTCCCCTGTCCATGGCTTTTTCTGTTCCTTAGCTTATCTTTTAGATATTAATATTTAAAAGCTACTTGTTTTCCTCTGCTTGCCTAGTCTGTGCTTTGCCCTTCAGACTGCATTCTGCAAGGTAGTAACTGGGACATTTTAGTCAAAATATATAGAAATTGGTGATACTATTTGTTTTGGAGGACCTACCTGGAACACAGGACATTTTTGAGTCAAGTTTAAACTATTCCAAATTTGATAGCAAGATTTTAACCTTTGCTTAGGTTGTAAAGTATCATAAATAATTGGTACATAAATAATACCAATTAGAAGGTAATTCAAAAAGCTGTTTGACTTGGGAGTTGTATGGTCTGTGTAGTAGGCTATGGAGTTTTATGGTATTTTTTATAACATACTGAAAGGTTGGAAAGATGCTTTATTGGTGAATAATGAGGCCAAAAAAGTGGCAGAAATATCCACAGATTTTCTTACAATTTTACTGTGAAAGAATGGATTCTCTCTCTTAAAAATTCTTTACAAGGTATAGATTCTGATACCTAGTAACAAACTAAACCTGTGCAGCATTTCAAACCATAAAAAGGAAACTTGATTTAATATATTGTAGTTTGAGTAAAAATGTAAAAGAGACCGTTTGAGTATACAAATAATGAGCTATTTAAATGCACCAAACCAGAAAGCTTTTGGAAGATTTTTAGATTCTCGGCTTTTGTAATAACATGCCAACAAATCTCATTAGCTATGGCAAATGAGATCTTTTCCCTTGTTTGGAGCATGAAATACTGTCTTTTAGCCAGAAGAACTTATTGCATCACTGAAATAATCATGAAATAAAAATAAATTTAAGAGATCTTCTTCATTTTGGAAAACGTGCACTTGAATGCTACACTTCACATCAAAGTAGAAATACAAAAAAATAAGATAAAGCACTGATATAAAAGAGAACATGTGACATTCAGTTCTTTACCTGTTACCATGGGTTAGAATCTCAGGTTACTGAGGAACAAAAGGTTATAGTCATTTATTGCTTGGCTGAATCAATAAGGTAGAAGCAGCCAAAAGAAGTCTGATGATTGTTGCCTAGGTGTAGCCAGTTGGGCAGGAAGGTGAAGGATTACAGGTGTTTCTCTGCATGGAACAAAAGGAGCAGGGGAGGGTATGAGTGTTCTACAGCAGTGACTGATGCTGCATATTGGCAAATGGATATTCTGATTGCTTTCTTAGTAGGAGACTGAGTGTAAATTTATCAGTCCTTGGCTTTGCAGGTCTATTGTTTTGGTTTCCATCAGTATATTAGCTCAATTACAGCATTGTGACTTGCATATCCCAGTTATTGGTCCTGCTGAACCCCAGGGGAGGGCAGTGATTTTAATTTCATGCCCCAGCAGCCACAGTTAGTGACGGATGGGTCTTTCAGATGAGGGAATCGGTTTGTAAATTACCCATGGCTACCTCCTGTCCACGTGTCACCAGCAGAGTGTGCAGGAATGGCAGCAGCCTCTGCCCAGAGCCCTGCTGGGGAGGGCAGGGGAGGGGAGCCTGGGATGGCAGCAGAGCCTGGGGGCCGGTGTGTGCTCCAGGGATTGTGCTGCTGAGGGGACACAGCTGGGGGGACACAGCTGGGGGGACACAGCTGGCACCTGGCTCATGGGAGCAGCAGGCAGTGCCTGCCTGGACAAACCTCCCGCTCCCGGGCTCTGTCCCTGGGACACTCTGGAAACAAGGAATCTGTGGGGATGTCCGGGCTGTCCTGTGTGAGGAGCAAAGAAGAGGAGGCAGTTTCACTGAGGATCTTGGAGGAGCAGCGCTGTGCAGAGATGATGGCTGAGTGGCTGTTACAAGTTGTGTTTGGTTTTTGTAAATGCTTTTTTGCTTTTCCCTTTCGTTTTTTTGTATCATTTGGCAGTCGTGGTCTCACTTTTCATTTTCAAGACAGACACCTGATTAAACTAGCTGCATTTTTGAATTATTTTATCTGAATTGTCATAGATGAGAAAAGGAGAAAGCAAAACGACTTGATTTAAAAGACTAAGTTCTCTTTAACAGTATAAATGAATGCAAAACAATGAATGATATCTATTATATTACATTTTGTATAATATAACCTATGTGGGGGAGAGAAAAGGACTTTCCAATTGCATGGCTCAAATTTAACATAATACAAAGTTGTTGATGTTTTATCTGTTCATTTCAGTGCAGCTAACCCCTGGTGATCTGGAATGGCTTTTAAAATATGAAAGCATTAAGTTCTTTCTAAAATTCATATTGTAACTTTTAAGTTTGAATAATGCATTAGAGGTCACAAAGTGAATATTTATATTTTCATTGCAATTATTTTCTATTTCATAATTTTAAAAGTCTTTTGATCAGTAGAAGAAATTACAACTTATTTCAATATTTCTAAAATAATCTTTCTTTTAAGGCTCTATAGCCAGGATGGACCTCTGATATTGTTTTTAGATAATGAACTATCAGGTACATCACTCTCTTCAAGGTTAAAATTCTAGCCCATGCTAATCAGTGCATAAGGAGAAAATCAACATTTTTATTCTGACTGGTGTCAAAATGAGCATTAATGAACCTTTTAATATTTTTTTTGTTTGGCAGCAAAGGATCAGAGATATGTTATTTAAAATGCTGCTTATATATTTCTAGTTCTGAATTTCTGCTCCCTGTGTTTGCATTGCTCTTTTAGGCGGTCACCACTGTGATTTGACTTCTCAGACATATAAAGACATATATTATATGTCTTTTTCTTATATGATTCAAATGGACAGCACTAAATTAACCTTTTAGTTTATTGCTGCTTGCACTGTTGTTGATAAAATATCACTTTTATAAGTAAGTGGCTCATTGCCAGCAAAAGCTCATTTATTAAGTTCTGGACTCTGTATTTGTGGCTGTGTTAAAGCACAATTTTTAGACCTTGGGGAAAAATAGCTGTACTTCGTTTAAGAGTTTTTGCAAGGCATTGGAACCATTTTTTATCACTTTGCAATTAAATACTATTATATTTCTGCTCCAGAACTCATCATGTAGTCATTGTGTGCTTCAAGAGAAGGATAATTTCTGAGGGCTCTTTTGTGTTGCTCTTTTTTAAAAAATATATTATTGTTTTGGTGTGTTTGCTGTTGTAAAAAGACATCCCATAACACAAATACACACACATATCTTGAAACTAAGACTTGACTTTATACTGAAATCTGGTAAAGTAACAGGCAGGACTAAATCCTCTGAATTAAGTTTTTCTCTACGCTTTTCTTTGCTTATCTGCTTGGTCCTACATAAAATACAATGCAATGCTGGAGTTACTCAACAGGATCGATAAAACTGAAAAAAGAGAAATGGAGGTTGAATTTTTCTTGATGATGAAGAGAAATTCTAGTTCAAATTCTAGCTGAAAGTAAAGCTCAGAAATGTCTGTTAGTGATTACCCAGATGTCAGTGTTGTGTGGAAGGTAAAATTGAAAAAATCAGTATTTCTCTTTTCATTTTAAAAAGTAAGCCCACATTGTATCTATTATAATTGATAGGTGATATAATGCAAACAGAGCCTTTGAAATATGTCTTGCATGATAATGGGAGTCAGTCGTGATGGAAAAGCCAGACCTTGGCAAGGCTGAGCGAGCTGAGCTCAGCCTGCCCTGACTCAGCCGTGCCTTTGGCTGCTGATCCGGTCAGCGAGCTGGTGATTGCATTCAGCATGTGATGTACAGAATGCAGAGTTCCGTGCTGGGACCATGACGTGCTCTTGTGCTGTCCACAGGCGCACGAGCGCTCCGAGAGCTCCGAGGTTGCCTTCGTCACGCAGCTCGTGAAGAAGCTGATGATCATCATCGCCCGCCCCGCTCGGCTGCTCGAGTGCCTGGTGAGTGCAGGCCTGGGAGAGGATCCTGTGCACTTGAGGGACACAAAGCCTTGGAAAGAATCCTTTAAATGCTCGTTAAAGCGTTGGTGAAAAATAAATTGATGTTTAATAAAAAAGAGGAAGCGCTAAGTGGCTTCTGCGTTAATATAGAAGTAGTTCTCCAACAGGCTGTCAGCTGCATCAGCAGCTAAATTATATTTTAATATAAAGTTAATGGCTGAGGGGCCAGATGTAGCTGGCAACATCATTTCATGCTACTTGATGCCACTGGATGTTCCTCATGTTGTTAATAGCTACTGTAAGGAGCCTGTGAATGTCTGTTTGGGGTGTGCCCAGTGCCCAGAGCGCCATGCTAAGGAGGAGCTGTCACTAAGGAAGAAGTTCCCTACCATGACATAAATGGTGTTTGGGCTCTGGGACTCAAACCCTTCCTGTAGACTCAGTAATTGGTGAAACGTGGTGTCAGGTTTTCTAGCTGTGAGCACCCAGTGGGATACACCCGTGTGAGATCCAAGGAGATTTGGGAGCCTGCGTTTGAAATCCTGTTTGGTGCTAATGGAATGCAAGCAAAAGCAAATCTCACTCCTTTTTTAACAATTTAATCTGGCTAATAACAATGCTTTTTTAAAATTTAATGCTAGAAACTGAAGTGAATATTGTTTAGGCAATTCCAATGAATTAGGCCACGGTTTCCCAAAGTTCTGCAACTACAAAAATATTTTCTTGGTATGGTGGAGAAGCAGCTAGAAAACCCATATTCTCATTGCCATGCCATAGCAAAAGTGTTAATATAGATCTTCAAATATATATAGAAAGAGGTGTACACACAACTGAAAGGGTTCAATTCAGTGACTGTATTTCAAAAGCATGCTGAGAAATCAGTGAAAATGTAGGGAAGTCACCAAAAATTGTGAGGTGTCACAGACCTACAATGGAAACTTAGAGAATGACAAGGTGAAATTCCCTGATGTGTCAGAGCACATTCATGGTGGTTCTTTCTGGACATAAAAGTGACAGAGATGCTACAGGTGTTTGAGACATCAGAGAAGTTGGCTGGATGAGGAATCTGTGGCTGGCTTAATAAAAGCACAGTTAACATGTGGGTTATGTTGGGGTCAGTGTATCCATGGGTGACATCCCTGGAGTCACTGGAAGATGAATGAGTTTTGTGGAGCTTTCTTTGACAAAGTAAACAAGAGTGGTCCAGTCTTAACAATGATACCAACTTTTGGAAACACCTGCAGCAGTTCTGAGAACTCGTAGGCTTTGGAGGGTTCCTTATTCCTCCTCCACAGCTGTCAGATGGATCACTTTGCTGGGAATCCTGCAGTGCAAGGAAGGCCACTGTCAGAGAGGAATCTGGCTGCACAACCAGCAGGGCAAATACCTTCACTACTGATTCAAGAAATCTCTGCCAGACTGCACTGAAAATCCCAGGCACAACTCCATTCAAACTGGGAATTCCTTGGTTTTCAAATAATGTTTGTGATTTAGATGAGTTTTCATGACTCCCACTAATGTTCTAGCACTTCAAAATTTATTTTGGAAGCAAAGACAATGGAGAAGGGGGATAAATTTAAACTCACCATGTTTGTGCATGCATTGCTGCATTCACCATTGTCATTTTTGCTTGTGTACACTCATCATCTAGGAAATCTTGGAACCTCAGAAAGCCTTGTGAACCCATATCTGTACCTGCAAAGAGTTCCAAACTCAAGGCAGCTCTTAGTTGCAAATCAAGAGGTCTCCAGGTTCTATGTCTTCTCCACCTGATGTTCTGCAAAGTGAGTGGGAGCAGGTGGAAGCAGCGAAGTCATTGAGATTTGAGTAATGAATTCCAAAGTCTGTAGTGACAACCTTGACAATGAAGTGGCCAGACTCCAAAATGTAGAAATAATATCTGGATCTGTGGGTTAGTCTCACCTGGTTTTTTCAACCTGCATTGCCTTCCTAGCAGTTTTTTTTCCAAGTATTTGTTTTAATCTGGTGACATGAAGAGTTAAATACTAATGTTCCATTTGTCGCATAAAGCAAGAAATATAATAATGGAAGTCAACTGTTTAAATAGCTTTTGAGAACTAATTTTCATTTTTATCTTTAACATACCTTTTTGTACCTTTGACTTAAATTATATGTGAATTTATAAAACGTTTTTCTACTATTTAATATTAAGGTTAACTTTAGTAACACTGCTCATTCTTCTTTCTTCCTTGTAAGTGAAATAAGTGTCCATCACAATGCTTGTGATGGTTGTGATTGTTTTAATGCAGTCAAAAAGCATTTAAGTATTCTGAAGTCCAGCTATTTGGCTTCTGTCTTGCATTACCTGTTGGACTATGAAATGTTTATTGACAGATAATCTCTAGGGCTTCAAGAAAATAATAACCTGGTTTGTGCATCTCTGCGACCATCTTTGGGAAAAAGTATCTAGGTTTTTTCAGTTTATTTTTCCATAGCACCTACCTCCCCTTAGTAGGGTTCATTCTTCTGTATTCAAAATGATTAAACCTACCATAAATAAGTCAGAACAGGAATTTTTATAGTTCCTTAATATTTTGTATGTTTGGGATTTTTTGTCACCAAGTTGTTTTTTTCCCTCTGTCTTCTACTCACCAATAAATGACTGCAGCTGTACCTCGAGAGGTCCTTCCTTGGCTCCACCATCCCTTTCACTGCATTCTGGTGACCATCTCTCTCTGTGGTCCTATCTGGTCTGGCTCTGCTCTCTGCCACTTCTGAAGCTGCTGATTAATCCTTTTCCAGAGGAGTTGGGAAGAAACTTTGTTCCTGACATTGTTGCTGTCTTTGGTGACAGCCTCTATCCAAGCAGCATTGCTTGGAGCAGTCATAGAAAAGTGCATCTGTTCTCTGCTCAAGTCTCTTCACATCATTACAAGCTCTAATTTCCTTTTCTTGTTTGCAGTTCTGTGCTCTTTTTCTCTTACGTTGCTGACCACACACCAGTTCTTTACTGATGCCCTCAGTTATGTGTGCATGCTCAGCTGTTTGCTGAAACTCTTCCCCTTTCATCCTCCCATTTCACTGGAAAATTTTTGAAGAGTGTTGGCGAAGCTGCTCATTGCTGGTGAATGATGAGGTTTGTAGGGGGAGAGCTAAAGTGATCTGGTGAACTTGTTTCTAAGCAGAGGGCTCCTGCTGCCCAAAGTTTGTCTTTTGTTTCCTACCATATCTCTTAGTGCAGTGTGAGAGATCACACCTTCTATAACCTTTTCTGGCCTGAGAGATGAACCAAGCCTGAGTTGCTGAAGTGATCCTGTACTATAGAGTACAAGAAATAGGGGAAAAATACTTCTTATGAAGAAAGCAGTTTTATTAATAATTTAATTAGCAATTGCTGAGGTTAGGACAGTGACAGGATTGGGTGGGTGTATGGCTTGATCAGAGGTGACATCTGGCAGCAGGAGAGGCTTATCTTGGGTTTACTCACCTGTCAGATGGAGATGGCAGAAGGTGGTGCCTCAGTTTTCATCACAGACTTTTCTCTGACAGGTCCCAATGTGACAAAACTGGGAGTTGTGTCCACACTTGACACTTACCTTAACAAGACCTTTTGAAAGTTTGGGTTTGGTTTGTAGAAAGTCCCTACAGTCCTTGTTCTGTTTTGATTTGCTGATCTGAACCTGTGGGATGTAACTGTCTGTTGGTTTTACAGAGCAGAGTGGGAAGCATTGCCTTGATTGTTATAATTGGAAATGTTCTGCATCACTGCTAAGCCCAGAATTACCTTTGGATGTTTCTGAGGATTCCCCTCTATGGGGGAGAAACCTTTTATAATTGTAAAGCTGCATCATTTGTCTCTCTCTGTGTCTCTCACTACTTTGCTGTAGGAGTTTGATCCTGAAGAGTTCTACCATTTGTTGGAAGCTGCAGAAGGCCATGCCAAGGAAGGGCAAGGAATTAAATGTGACATTCCTCGTTACATTATCAGCCAACTGGGACTCACCAGGGATCCCCTGGAGGGTGAGAACTCTTGTTAGGTACTTTCCAAACTGTTGAAAGGATAGTCAGATCTCCTGGTCACTACATAGCTGAAAGAGGCTTTTAGTTTATTGATTGAATTTCTGGGCCATTTTTCCTTATTTTCCTGTTTGCTGTCAAATTCTAGACTGTCCTTTCCAGCCCCATGTCTCAAAGGAATGTTGCTGGGGTAAGGATGGCACATCAATAGTGACAGTTCTTTACTTATGATGTTAATAATGTCTCCCTGTATTATAGCTGAAACAATGTTAGAAAATGTCTTTAGGATTTAACTGTTTTCTCTGTGCTGTTGGACAGTAAAAGTAAATTCACCTGTTATTTTTCTGATCTGCCTGGCCTGCTAATGGCCTGGTTGGAAAGTATCCTGTCATCCCACTTGATTGTCCTCTCTGGGAAAAGTGTGTATTTTGTGGTTTTCCATGAGATTACCAGGATGAGTGTGAATTTTTAGCTGGAGGTGAGATTGAAGTTTTACATCTTATGTAGCAGCCAAACCAAAGAGAGCAATGTAAGGACAGAAACAGCTTTTCTGCAAGGTGCCAAAATTGCATATGTTAAACTTTATATAGACATACATTGGCCCAGAAGATTGTAACTTTAGAATTAGTGAGTTAATATTTCTGCTTGGCACTTTGCTGGCTGAAATGACAAGTTTTCTGAGCATGCACAGCTTGTTCAGCAACAATAGAAAGAATGACAGGGACTGGAGGTTACTGCAGAATATTTCAGTGATTGAACTATACTTCTTGTTATCTCAGGAGAGCATAATTTTAACATAAATTAGTAGTCTGGCTAGGACTAGTTTAACTTCTCTGGTGTTTACTGGAATGACAGTGACAGGTTGACTTCAAGTGAAGAGCTCTTCGGGAAAATTTCTACCAAAGATTGCTAAATGCAATTTAATAGCATTTGTTGAAATCTGACATTAAAGGGAAATTTCCTTTGATCCCTGTCATGGGAGAGAACCTTTCCATTGCTAATTCCCCTTACTAAAGTCAAATTTTCTTTAGAAATGTGGGGAGATGTCAAGGTGCCTTATTTCCTTTCTGTAAGGAGGGCACCCAGAAATGTCAGTGATGTCTGTTCAGAGACTCGTAGCTAACACAGGATTTGGGCTTGCAAAGTTTACAGCACCTCCTGTGACAACTGAGTAGCCTAAACTAAGTGACTTTCCCCCAGTTTGCTGCTGCTCAGTGTTTTGCAGAATCAGCCACATCACGTGGAGGGCAGCTGTTTGAAATGTGATGCTTTTTCTTCTTGGAGCACAGAGGTGCCACCAGGCTACATGCAGACATGTATGTGTGGAATGGGTTTTAATATTAACTAGACAGCACTTTCCCCAAACATGCATTTATTGCTTTTACTTATGATAGAAACTATCTAGAGTAAGTTCAGGCTGAAATTAGAACAATTTATTATATTCATCTTTATATAAAATACTGCCTGCAGCATACAAGATGTTAAAGGTTATCACTGTATAATTGGGGTGACTTTTTACAGAGGGAGAAAATGTCCTTCATCATCTACAAGCACCTCTTAAAACCCTGTTTTTCTTGTATAAACAAAGAGAATAGTGTTTGATTGAGATCATTAGGAGTAATCTTTCCTCTTTCTTTTCAGAAATGGCCCAGTTGAATAGCTATGACAGCCCAGACACTCCGGAGACAGATGATTCAGTCGAGGTAAAGCAGTAATACACTCACTCTGTCTAGCACTTTTTTTTCTCTCAAAAGAAGTAGTCTACAGTAAAGAATTAATTATAATGCAGAGTAATTGTAATTTAAAAAAAAAAAAAGTGCTGACATTTAAAAGCTCATATTAAAACTAGAGTACATGCTCATAAAAACGTGAAAATCTTTATACAGTGGTGGTAAAATGCTTAAAAGATGCAAATAGGCATTATCACCAAGTTTTGTGGATTTTTTTTAAAAAATTTGGAGTTATAAATGAAAATCATCTGGAGGAATTCTTTATATCCACATTTGTAAAATGTGATGGGTTTTGAAAAGAGTTGACTTTAGTAAAACCACTGGAAAAATTTAATTATGTAACTGGCTAGATTTCAAAGATCCTTATTTTATTGTTTTTTTAAAAAATGTAGTATTAAGGAAAGGCCTGAATCTTACAGTCCACTGACTTTTTGTGGTAATAATTTGTGAAGGGCATCTGCAAACACCCTAAGGATGCAGAAAATTGTCCTAAAGCTGAGGACCCCAGAAATTCAGAAATTGAGTTTGAGTTAATGGGTGCTTAAACAAGAAAAGGACAAAAAAAAAACCCATACAGAATTAAGGCATTCCTGCTCCTGATTTCCATTTTCTTGTTGTCTTTCCTCAGAGCCGTGGGGCCTCTGTCCAGTCAAAGAAAACTCCGTCTGAAGAAGAGTTTGAAACTATTAAACTGATCAGTAATGGTGCTTATGGGTAAGACTTTTAGACTTTGAATTAGAAGAAAATGCTGTTATTGTCCTACCCAACAAAGGGTTATAGGAAGATTTGGCAAATGTCTGGGTTTTGTTGGGTCCAAAGCATGAAGTAATTTCACTTGGGTCTTACAGAGGTTCCATAGTTGTATCTTCTGCATTCTTCTGGGAGATGCCATTTCTTTCTTTTATTCAGATTATATATATAACATATGTGGCTGTTTGAGAGCACTTGATATGCTAAAAGAAGTGCTAGAATAACACTGGGGTAAATCTACTGTGAGGAGTAATACATGAGAAAGGCTATTAGATTTTATTATCCATTGAAGAATCAAGTATGAATTCAGCCAGTTAGGGTTTTAACCACACACACAAACCTATCCAGAATTTTAAAAGGCAGTTCCTGACTCTTTGCAGGTCATAAATCCTTACCAGTGAGGTCATTAGGCTGTTACTGAAAAGCAGTGGTACTCATTAGGTCATAACAACAAAACCTGAGCATGTGCTTGAATGTTTTGTGGAAGTGAGTGCTTAGTTAACAACAAGTCGCTTTTTAAAAATTATATGTGGAAAAAATGTAAGCATGGGTTTTAGTGAGTGAAGACACAATGAAGCATGTTTAAGAGTCATATTATGAGACAAAAAGATTTTAAAGCTCTTTAGTCACATTTCTGCACAAGTTCCATGTAACTTTGTAAAAAGGGGAGAGAGGAGTGGTAGTTTTGCTGTTAGTCACATGTCTTTATCCTGGATTTATTTTACAGTCAGTGGCTGCTGAGACACAATACCACATTAAATGTAATGTACTCCAGAGAAAAGGAAACAAGTACTGATTCAATAAGGCAGGCAGACTGGATGAAAATTTTATTTGCAAACTGTATTATTAATGTGCAGGAATCTAATGATCTGCAAATGATAGAAGTGTAAGAGATACTTTACTGAAGGAAATCCCTGGTGACAGTGCTGCGTCAAATTAATTTTATGGAGCCTGGAAAGGACTCATGCTGATTCCATAGATTTTGGACAATTTTTTAAGCCAAGTAGTTACTGTAGTGTTGAAAAATACATGCTGCTCTGCAGTGGTGCTTATGGAAATTTGTGACATTTGTGTTTGAGATATCTCCTTGTTTATCACATCAGCAATAATGCTGCTTTATTCAAGAAGGCAGAGCAGCTTTGGGAAGGAAGCATCATGGAGTTCCTTCTTTGCTAGGGTAGCTTGCCACTGAAACGGGATTTTATGGAGTCATGGATAAGTCTGTCAGGATCCATTCAAAACAGTAACGTCACTGTTTAAAAAAACCCAACAAAACCATAAAGAACTCCAAACCTAAACCCACGCCAAACCAGCTTGAACTGAGAATGACCCTTTTCCTCTTGGTGTGTGGTTTTGCAGAGCGGTGTATCTGGTGCGGCACAAGACCACCCGCCAGCGTTTTGCCATGAAGAAGATCAACAAACAGAACCTGATCCTGAGGAACCAGATCCAGCAGGCCTTTGTGGAGAGAGATATCCTGACTTTTGCTGAGAATCCCTTCGTGGTCAGCATGTTCTGCTCCTTTGAGACCAAGCGGCACCTGTGCATGGTTATGGAGTATGTGGAAGGTATGGTTGCTGTTGTCCACACCTCCAGAGGGGCCTTGGTTGGGATGGATGTGGGCTGTGAATCCCTGTGGCTGATACAACACATTTGCAGTGGAGCTGAGCCTCACTGCTGAGGTCAGAAGTCAGTGTGAACTTTCCAGTCTTCATTGGAAAGGAAACCCTCCCTCTCTCCTGTGGGATGGTGTGGCTGGATCCATAGCACATTTGCTTAACATTCCACTTTAAAAAAGACTTAAGAAATATAAGTCTTTATTCTTTAGCAGCCTTTTTAAAAATAAAGTGCCATTTTATGCTGATGTTGGTTTTTTTCATTGTTTGGTTTGCTTGTTCTTTGAAATATAATTTGATTTTACTTTATCAGTATATCTTATTATAAGCAATATTCACTGGTGGATAGGATTAATTTCTTATGCCTGGCTAGCTTGACTGAATGTTTGAGAAATAAGATTATAGTTATTGTATCAGTGCTCTTTCAGATAAATTAGTGGAATGAAATCAGATGTATTGACAATACGAAATTTTAATGTTAATTCATCTTTGCAAGTAGAAATGAAGGTCGACTGAGATATGTGCCCAGTGTTCCCAAGGAAGCTTCAATCAGGAGTCCACAGCCTCTTCAAGGCTTCCTTCAGTTTGCAGAGGGCATCTGGACAATTCCTGTCCAAGCCTGCCCAACATATATGGATCTCAATTTTCCTAGGATTTTAGTATTTGTTTTAAGTTCAAGACAGAGTATAGAGAGATCTTTAGAATTCCTCCTAACAGGGGTGTGAGAGACAGCCTTTAGAAAACTTAGTCTAATCTTGTACTGCAGACCCCTAGCTGTTTTTTTCATCCTGATACTCGCCATTTCAAAGTGCCATATGTGCAAATGTTTTGTTTCTAGGAGGTGATTGTGCTACCCTTCTTAAGAACATTGGTGCCCTACCTGTTGATATGGCGAGGATGTATTTTGCCGAGACTGTTCTGGCACTGGAGTACCTACACAATTATGGGATTGTTCACCGTGACCTCAAACCTGATAAGTAAGTCTTGGGCCCCTCAGAGGGAGCAGAGCCAGTCCTTCAGGGGCTTTCTCTGTAGGCACCAGGACATGGGGGCTGGAGACAGCATTGATCCTCAACAGCATCTGACATGCACGAGGTTTTATGGAATCTCTGGCTACTGTTGTAGAAGCAGATAAGCACAGAAAGGGTGGGAAGAATGTCTTCAGGTGTGATCCCAAAGCTGTTGCTACACTGGTGGTGTTTTGGCAGAAGGTAGTCTCACTCCTAGTTGCCTTATTTACTCTGTGATATTTAGCTGCATGGAAGGTTTTTCCCAGGTGTTTAATGGGGATGTAGCACTGAGATAGTCCTTCTCATTATCTTGTATTCTTTTTGTTTTAAATTGGTTTTGGGAAACAATTAAATCAATGTTGCATTATTTTACTTCTCTTTCTTTTAGTCTCCTGATAACGTCAATGGGTCATATTAAACTAACAGATTTTGGGCTGTCCAAAATTGGGTTAATGAGTCTTACAACCAATCTTTATGAGGGTCACATTGAGAAGGATACCAGGGAATTCCTGGACAAGCAGGTAAGCTGAAAATATTGTCTGTTGATGTGGGATCAGATGCAGGATTCTGTCTTGGGATAGAATCAGAGTTTGTAGCACTCCTTCTCTGCCTTGATGCTGTGCTGTGTGTGCTGTGCACTGTAATATGGGAGGAAAAGATACAAGTCCATTCTCATGTTTGTACATAAATTGACGTTGTTATTTCAGCTTCTTGTTTTGGAGTCAGGGACTTCAGCTTAGTTTAAGATAGTGTAAGGGTGGCCCAGGCAGCAGTGCAGGTGTAAACAGAAGTTGGTTTAGGGATGTAACATGGATTTTGCTGGAAGGTTGTTCCACGATCTCCCCCTTCTGGTGCTTAGAAAGTTCATGGCAAATTTCTATATGTTTCTTGTAATTTTATCTAACGGCTTAAACATTGATTTTTATTCCCATGATATTTACTAAGGGTAATTTTTCTCCTTAGCCTTCATTTTGCTAGGCTTAACCAGCTAAGTTCTTGTAGCTAACAAGATAGATTTTCCTTTGATGAATGAATAGCTCTTCCATGTAACTCCTTCTGTTTGAGTTGATCTTTTCTGGGCATAGTTGAAGGAACTGTTCTGGATGCAGGCTCACCAGTGCCTTGTATAATGGGATTAAAAAATGCTTCTCTCTTCTGAAAATACTTAGGATCGCAGCTGAATTTTTCAGCTGAATTTTTAGTTATGCCAAGTGTTGATTCATAATTATCCTGTGGTGTTGTCTTCCTTTGCTTCTGAGTAAGGATGCTTTTTCTAGCAGAACTCCCTATGGTCGCTAGATCAGATTCTTGTACTTTACAGTGTTACATTTTTTACAACTATTTTGTTATTGTTGTTGTTGTTTCTAAGCCCCAGGCAATTTAGATCTTCCAAGGTAATTTCCTTAGCCATTGTCCATGCCAGCTGTACCTCCCAAGATTAAGGCTGAAGTGTGTAATCATGCTGTGCTGCTAATTCTGCATCTGTGAAACTAAATTCTGTTAGCACAGAGATGTGAGAGGTTTGTCAAAACTCAGTTCCTGATAGCTGTAGCTGTGCCAGCAGACATCCATCAAGCTGTCAGACCTAAACACACAGAATATGCATTTTTCCCATATGCTTTCCTGTGCATACACCAAAGAACTACTTAGCTGGCATGTCCACACTAGGAACATTTAATTTCATGTGATGTTATTTCTATGCAGGTAATATTCTTCAAATATAGACTCTTGCTCCATAGAAGTAGTTCACAGCATGAAGTGGTTAGTGGCAAAACATTAATAACTTCCTTGTAAAGCTCTGAGGGGGTAAAGAAAGGGGTGGGGGGGAAAAAGACAAAATAAGCTTTGACATGAATTTGGCAATTTGTAAATGTATTGCTCTGTTGCATGTTTCTCTTGAGGTCTGTGGGACTCCAGAGTACATTGCACCAGAAGTGATCCTGCGCCAGGGCTATGGGAAGCCTGTGGATTGGTGGGCCATGGGAGTTATCCTCTATGAGTTCCTGGTTGGCTGTGTTCCTTTCTTTGGGGACACACCTGAAGAGCTGTTTGGACAAGTGATCAGTGGTAAGTTTCTGCTCTGGTTCTGAAGAGGTTTCAAAACGTGCTTTGAAAATAATTGAGGATCCACAGTTTAGTCAGAAAGGATTAGGTATAAAATAATGGGGTTCAATTTTAGTATTTCTAAATTTCTGTGTCAAAGCAGCTTCCATCTGATTTCAGCTATGGAAACTTGTTGTGTTGCTTAACATCTTCCTGAATAGTTCTGTCATGGTGTGGAAGTCATATAAATCCTTGTGGGATTGAGGAAAAATATTTGGGGAATTTTCTGTTCTGTCTTTTAACTTAAATGATGGAGAATATGAAAGGAGTAGCCACCAACTGGTCTAATTCAGGCTGATTTTGGTTATTGTTTTTGTAAGTCCAAATGCTAGTCAATTAGTAATCTTGTATAAGTGAAATGAAAGGAAATTCTGAGCACAATACATTGAAGTTGTTGTACTCAGTACCTCCATATCTTGTGGCTTTTTAAACCTGTCTCATGCTTGGAGCTGGACAGAAAATTGCTTTGTGTTCACTTGGTGAATATGCCAGTGAAATCATTTCCTATTGGGAATGCTTTCTGAAGTGGTAAATTTTTAACACACTTGGCAAATGTCCTTTGTAAAAAGCAAATTTCAGCAAAGCACTAAATATGATGCATGAAATCGTTACCTGTGAATTGTTCTCTCTGTTCCAAGTATAACGACTGTGGAATGTGCAGGCAGGAGATACAGTCACAGTATTGTCACTGTCTTTGTTTATGGATTGTCATGGAAGTCCCATTTCATACTTTATTAATAAAGTCCTTAAAGCCTTTTTTTTTTTGTCTCCACAAGCACTGCTTGGATTGACAGCAGCTTTAGCTGATGCTGAATTTTATGCATTTTGAAAAATGTCAATGCTTGAATTATATTAAGCTGCTGAATTCAAGGTATTTACGCTTCTGGGGCAGTTCTCAATGCTGCACTTTGAGGTATAGGAGTGTGAATGGTTATTCAAATTAGTTGGGAAGCTGGTAGAAAATGTCAAGTCTCTTTTTGTCCCTAGATGAAATTGCCTGGCCAGAAGGAGATGATGCACTGCCACCAGATGCCCAGGACCTCATTTCTAAGCTTCTCCGCCAAAATCCTCTGGAAAGAATGGGAACAGGTAAGAACCTTGTGCACAAGAAACACTGTCCAGAAGCAGGGGATGAAGCTACCTTGCCCCAGTGATGCACACCCACTCCTGTTGAGGAATGCTCATCTAGAGCTGGGGAGCAGCTTATACTGGATTCAGTGTGGTGGAGCTCTGGGAATTAGTGTGAGATGTCCATGAGCCAGGCAGATTTTACTGTCTTGTCAGGGAAACAGGAAAGGGGCACTGTCAGCTTGGCAATATCACTTCTCTGGTTTGTGCTGCTCCATTATAGGCTTGAGGGTTGTGTTTCCATTTGAACAGTGTATAATTAGATTTCTTTGAAGTTCTCTTCGAGTAGGATCTTAATCCCTGCAATGGATGTGAATTCCTGGGTATAATAAAATAAATTAAAACTTTCCCATTCCTAGAGGCCTGTAGTGTAGAATTCTCCAAACATACAGCAAAGTCTGATAATCTTTTTGGCAAAGTCAGGTATGTATGTCAGTCTTTCAGTATTATTATATCAGATTTAAAGTTTTGTAAGCCAACACTTCTCATTTCCTCATAGTAAATAATAGTAAATAATCTCTAGCTACATTCTTGTTTTGAAGTAATTTGTGCAACACTGTGGCTTCACATGACAGCTTATCTTTCATTTATTTGATTAGTTTAATTTAATTTGGGATTTTCAATTCAGAACTGCATTTAAAGGATAAAAAAAAGGCTTAGAGATAAATATATAACAGTTCCAAAAGGCACATGTATTCAGCAGACTTAGCACATGTGCACACAAGGGTGATAAATAGATCATGAATTAATAATGATATCAGATGGTTTTCACATGTTCTTCTCTACTTAAAATCCATGTACTTGAAAGATGTTGCTGTCATGGAAAAGATGTAGAGTTTCTAGCCTTATAAAATGAGTTGATGGACTGATTTTTTTTGGTTTCTTATATACCTGTAGTGCTGAGACTGCTGTTTCACTTGGCATGTCGTAGTGCCACTGGCACTCAGCAAACCTTTTATCTCTTTTCCTCTGCTCTTTTCTTTTCTAAAAAGACAGTAGCATCTGCTATGAATTTTAATTTCATTTGAAAAAAAATGCATAAACTGGTAGACCGATAGTCTTTACTTTTTCCTTCTGGGTACCCAAGGTTCTGATCTTAATAACAATAGATACTAATTCAGGAAGATAGGTGAGCCCTGTCTTATTCTAGGCACATGATTGAGTTTATTCACAACAGTGGAGTTGTGAGTTGTCACTCAAATTCCAAGTGCCTCTCAGAGTTTGCTCTCTTTATTCAGTTATGAGCAAGATGGTGTTTAGAGTTTGAAAATTTTAAATTAAGGTGTTAGTTCTTAATCTTGCAACTCACTGTGGAGTGCAACAGCAGATGCTGTCTTCCAGCATCTGTGTTGTTGCTAAACAGGAAGAGGAGGTGGGAAGGAGTAAATTTTGTGAAGGTTTTATCCTGCATGACAACTTTGGTAAAAGGATAAATTGTTTCTCAAAATTCCTGGAAAATGTGTGACTTAAAATACTCGAGTACATTCTCTTAGGCTCTTGATACTTTTAGAGTTTGTTTTTCATGTTATGCAAATGCTGAAAGAAATACTCTGCAATAAAGTGTGCTTATTTCAGGTAGTGCCTTTGAAGTGAAGCAGCATCGGTTCTTTAAAGATTTGGACTGGAATGGATTGCTCCGGCAGAAAGCTGAATTCATCCCACAGCTGGAATCTGAGGATGACACAAGCTATTTTGACAGTAAGACTCAAGATTTGGCCAAAACAGCATCATATTTCTTGTGCATATTTCATTTTTGAAATTGTTAGAGATAAGTCATTTTAGAAATTGAATAAAACACTTGATGGAAATTGCTTGAAAACGTTTCTGTTGAATGCCAAGTAAGGTTTCTTTGAAGGCAAATTAATTTTAAATGAAAAAATGTTGCTGCTGGAGTCAGTTGGCCTTTCACTGGTGCCTGTGGTCCTGCCAACCATGGGACTGCAGTGAGAGGTGCTGCCATTGTCATGCTGGGTTCATTAAACTTCTTCCAAAGCATTTGGTAAATCCAAATTCCTTGAGTTTTTGAGCAATATGATCATTCCCTTGTGAGTGTTTTCAGCCAATAAATGCTTTTTAAAAAACCCAAAACAAACCCTAGACCTTGAAGACAAGTATATGGAGAAAATTCTTAAGAGATTTGAAGTAATTTGAATTCTTTTCACTGCAAGTGTGTCACTTTATTTTAGTATTACTAACTCTAATGAGATATGAAGTGTGTATAAATGTCTGGGAACTGCCATGGTATCAGTGCTGTGTAAGATTCCTGGTATTTCAAGATAAGCACCAGACAGAGTCAGTGCTCTTGGGAGAGAAGGGAGGAGTGTCACAGGAGGGGTGGAGAGATCTCTGTTCCCAGAGCCTCTGCTCCCTAACTTTTCTCATTTGACTTGTGGAGCTGAGCAGGTGGAAAGGGCTTGGTCAGGGTGAGGTCTTTGTCCTTCTCCAGCTGCAGAATGGGACACTGGCTGTTTCTGTTCCCTGAGATATGGAACTTTCTGCTCCACATCAATGGAATCTCTCCCATCTTGGGGCCATGGGACTGTTTGAATCTGTGTGAAGCACATTTTTGCTCTGCTCCTGTGCTTTGCTGGGAGTGAAAGGGGGGGAGAGCAGCTGCCTCCAGACCCTTGGCTCTCACACTGCACAAGCAGTGATTCCATTTAGATAGTGCTCTTCCAGTTTGGGGAAGGGGCTTTTAGGCTTGTTTGGAGAGGTAGGACTGGGAGAGAGAGATGGATTGAGAAATCTCTGTGTGGTTTCTGCAGAGAGCAGCTGGAGTCAAGCTGTGCAGAGGGGGCAGAGGTGGGGTTTCCACATGTACTGAGGTTGTACTGCTACAACATACATACAGGAGAAACTGATGTGTGGGGTGTTCTCACCACTGACTGGATTTACAGGATGTGGAAACTTTGCTCACTGAGTTGGGTCAGTGACTGGCAGAGGCTCAGTGCAGCAGCCACGAGCAGATCCTGGTGGATAAAAGCAAAACCACTGGGTCTGTCAAGTTCCCAGAATGATGGGAAACTCCCCACGTGCCCAGGCACACTCGGTATCAGGGTGACCTTGATGTGAATCCTTTAAAAAGGCTGGAATTCTCACACCAGGAAATATCTCACATAGACACTGATAGGAGCTGGTGTTGCTGTTATAAACCTGAATGCAGAAAATGTTAGAATTTATAAAAGTAGCTTTCTGGCTGATGTGGTGCAGCAAATTTGGCTCAGTGTAGTTAGCAGCTTTCTTTAGCCAAACTTATTAGTGCCCACCCCACAAAATCCAGTGTGGCTGGCTTAGAAATCCAGTGCTGCAAATCTCAAAGCACGAAATCTCTTTGGAAGAAGTTTTGCATTAAAAATAGCTTTGCATATTGGCTGCTTGCCCATTTTCTTTCACAAAATCTAATCCTTTTCCTAGTTGCAGGAGGGAGAAGAGGAGATTTTCTTTTGGGGTAAATATTTTTATTTTTTTTAAGTAGGTTTGTATGTATGTATGCAGGACAGACTTTGTACTATCAAAAAGCTGTTTATTGGAAAGTTGGACAGTGAATTGTTTCCATGTTTCCTTCCACGTGATTGTTTGCTGTAGGGAAGAAATTTCCCTACCATGAGGGGTCTGCAGGATTAGACACCTTTTGAGTATCAGCTGCTTCCAGAATGGAATACAGCTGACAGGATAAGATAAATTCAGTGCCAAGGAGATATTCTTTACTGGCAATTGAATGGGATGAGCGAAAACTGGCTGGGTATGTTTCAGTATTAAGGGAAATACCCTGCATGGTGTATAAACATTCAAAGTTCTTTCAGCAGACCAGTAGCAATGCTTGAGGTGTGAGTTACCAACACTCCCCACACTGATGCAAGTGCCATGTCTTGTTCCCAGCCCGTTCAGAACGGTACCAGCACCTGGATTCAGAAGAAGAGGAGGACACTAATGATGATGATCACGTGGAAATTCGGCAGTTCTCCTCGTGCTCGCCCAGGTTCAGCAAGGTAGGGCCGTGCTAACTTGAAAGAAAACAATCTAGAGAGGAACACGGTTTCTTTGCTTTGTATGGGACAGATTTTAAACATGTGGTTGCTCTGTGGGATCTCATGATGTGTAATATTCACAGAGGAAAGAAAACACTGCATGTGTTGTTTATTTGGTGGTAGTTTGTGGTCTGTTAGAAGGTGAGTACCAGAATAATTGGAGAATGACATTTACAATTTTTTAATGTTTCACCAATATGCAGGGCATATTGTGTAGGTCTCTTCTGCATCTGATACAGTTTGATGTTTTTACCAATGACCTGGATGCTGGCATAGGAAGTATCCAAAACTTACTTGCTTTGAGCAGTATTGTTCTGAAAGGACCTTCCAAGGGTGAAAAGATGGTTTTGGGATGAAAATGGGTTCTGACATTTGGAATAAAGGTCTAAAATCAAAGAAGTAAGAAAATCAGTGAAGTTTACATCACTCATTGTCTCAAATACAGCCTGAGGAGCAAAAGGCAAGGTGACAGTTTCAAAGAGAAGGGCACATAGTCCTTCACTAGTTAGTTGTGCCAAATTATTGAAGCAATAATTTTCCATACTGGGCTTACCAGTAGGAAGGCCATTGCTGGGGTATTCTGGTCTGTACTGGGAAAAGTTCCTGAAAATGAACATGGACCAGTAAAAGGGAGTCCAGAGGAAATCAGCAAGAATTACTTGAATTCTACAAAACATAAAACCTCTGGTGTTTTCAAATATATAACTAGAAGGAAAGGACTACATTGGTCTTCCTGATAAAATATAATATGTTTGTGAGGGGCAGAAGAGAGAAGAAATGGTGTTTTGAGGCAGCCACTTTATGAATTGTATTTCCCTCTTAGTGAGATGGGAGTAGGAATTTTGCTTAAGAGCTCTGAAAGGTAATTTTGGTTTTTCACAGCAGTTCCTCCAGTTTTCCACTGCTGAAGTCAGTTTTTAAGGCCCAGTTTGTTCTTTGTCCTCAACCAGGCTACTGTGGTTTAAATAACAGTTACTCTTAATTTTATGGAGTTGCTCCTGATTTGCATCACTAAAAGTATGTTTAAAATTGGACCTGAGGATTAGTTGGTGTTTTGTAGAAGTTCTCATGAGTATGTAAGAGTTTCTTTTCTCTGCGTTTTCTCACCATGAGTATTACTCATTTGTTAGACTGAAGCTTTTCTTTAGGGTTCAATGTTTTTGCCACAAAGAGAGAAAGTTCACTTTTAATGAATTTATTTTAAGACCTGGAAAATTATACAGCATTTGTAATGTGGGAGGCATAAAAGGCTCATTATATTTTGAAATTCTTGTCTGACAATTCAGCCATATGATTTATTAATAGTTATCTTGTTGATGCTCTGAATTTTTAATAACATTATTTTCATTAATCTCTTCTTATGTAAATTAGGTCCACAGTCAAGTGTAGTTTTAAAAGGATGGATTTTTTTGCTTAATCATTTAATTATTTAAAGACGGCTGTAAAACCAAGAAAGGCACTTTCATTAAGCTGTCAGCATTATAGTAGATTCCTTGAGGAGGGCAGGACTTTTTTGTTCTGAAATAAGCTTGGGGCAATGCTGATAGACTGATGATAATGAAATGGGGTCATGAGCATGATGCCTATCACTGAAGTGAATTTGTGTAGTAAGATTTCAAGATCCAGATGCTAGCCCTCAAGAGTTGTGCAGCTGTCTCTAGCAATAGCTCCTCTTAGATTTGAGAATCATTAAAACCAAAAATCAAAGTAATTTCACTAAGTTTGTCAGTGTTTCTGTTGTGTTTTCAAAGGAGAGGTGTTGGGTGCTGTTGTAGAAAAGCATTTTCACGTTTCTGAAGCTGGGCCTTTTTCCTTTCCTCTCTGGCACACCTTGAGCATGTCACACGTGCACTGTGTTATTTGGTCAAGGAACGTGACCAAGTTCACACTTTCAGGGGGAAATTTCAAGAGGAGATTTTTCCCCTTGCTCAGAAAAGGCCCCGTGGGTTGGTTTTCCGTGCACAGAAGGATCTTTTGCTGCACACAGGTGTACAGCAGCATGGAGAGACTTTCCATCCACGAGGAGAGGAAGACTCCCCCACCAACCAAGCGGAGCCTGAGTGAGGAGAAGGATGATCGGCTGGACAGCCTGGGGGGCTTGAAGAGCCGGGACCGCAGCTGGGTCATTGGGTCTCCGGAAATGTGAGTTCTGTGCAACTGAGGCTTCTGTTTTCCCACAGCAGCTGAGAAAGACCAGCCAAAACTTTCTATGACCAGTGTTAGGTGAGGAGAGCTTCCTATGTTGTGTTTCCACAGGAGAAGCCTGGATTGAATAGCTAAAAGTGAATGTGTAGAACCTATACAGTCCTTAAATGTATCCAGTTAAGTACTAAGATCTTCTAAATCTGTAGCAAATACTTTTAATGCATTTAAAGGTATTCTAACCTTAAGGGCGGATTTCTTATGTTACATCAGAGATGTACCCACATCAGTTTTTTTCTTAAATTAATGCAAATTCTGGCATTGCCAGACTTTGACCTTTTGTTACAACGTAGAGAAATCGTTAGGAAAGTTCAAAGTTTCAAAAGTTCAGAATATGCCCAAAAAATCTTGTGCTCTAATAAAAAATGTCAGTAAAATATATGAGTACCCTGCATTTGGATACCTGCCATGCTTCTGGCATCACTGAAAACTTACCTTATAAAAGGGATGTCTCTCATTTTGTGCAACCCCTGTAAAATTTTTACACTAATGTTTGGCATTAGAAAGAGCATAAAATGTGGCTCTGACCTGGTCTGTATGACTCCCTCAAAAATGTTTTACAGATTGCACTCATAACTGAGGTGCACTTCATTTTGCATTAGGCCTTCCTGACTTCTAATTTAGAGCAACTTTGAAAGAAAAATTCATCTAATTCCAAAAGGAACATGGAGGATGATTTGCATTCTGCAATTATGATTAAAAAAAAAAATTAATATCATATTCATGATATTGTATTTTCCTTTGGGTTTATCTCTTCCTTTCCTAGAAGCTTAATAATTGGAAATCTAAACTCAGGTGGTGCCCCCAAGCCTTTGTTGTTTTAGCTCCCTTTGTTGTAGCTTGGCCACCAAACTTCACCTGAAGTTGGCTTCAGGTGCATGAGTTGGGTCTGTGCCCTGTTTTCACCCTTCCAAGTTCATCATCTCCTGGCTCACCTGGGGTCAGTGACATCCCCTGGCTCACCTGGGGTCAGTGACATCCCCTGGCTCACCTGGGGTCAGTGACATCCCCTGGCTCATCTGGGGTCAGTGACATCCCCTGGCTCACCTGGGCTCGGTCCCAGCCCCTGACTCTGTCTCGGTTCTGCCCCCAGCCTGCGCAAGCGCCTGTCCATGTCCGAGTCCTCGCACACGGAGAGCGACTCCAGCCCTCCGCTGACGGTGCGGCGCCGCTGCTCGGGGCTCCTGGACATGCCCCGCTTTGCCATCTCTGCCGAGGATGAGGGGGCCACCCTCAAACGTCCCCAGTCCGAGGGGATGCTCCTGTCCACGGTGCAGGCTCGGGAGGGGCTGCCTGTGCCCATTCCAGAACAGCCTGTGGAGCACGAGCTGCCGCAGGAAGGGGATGCTGGAGCCACCACCCCGTCCACGGCCACCGGCAGTGCCCCAACGCTGGCAGGTACGTGCTTGGTGTCCTGGTCCCCAAGGAGGCTGTGTTACCTTGCAGAGATTAACTCTGTAAAACTGGCTCTAGGTGTCAGGGGGTGTGACTCCCTCTTGCCAAGTAGGTATTTTAGTGTAGTTTTATGGATGTGCTTGCCTTTGAAATAATGCCAGTGGTTTTGTCTCCTCAAAATTGCATCTTAGATTTCAGTCCTGTCACTTCAAATTGATTTAGGTCTTCTCATGCTTGAGATTCATATGATCTATGCCTACTTACAACCACTGGGTGCCTACCTGAGACAACAATAATTTAAGCATTAATCAGAACAGATCATTGCTGAGTTGGAGCTGGAGAACATGAGTGTCAGCCATACCAAAAGATCCCTGCTTCCTGTGGTTTTGCTTATCTCAAGGGTTTGGAGAGACTTGAAATATGCTGGGGAAGTGGGGCTTGTGTCGGGGACATGCTACTTATTTTAACAGCCAAAAATGCCAAAATTCATCCTGTTGCAGTCTTAGAAAAGTGCAACTTAAATTTAGTAGAGCGGCTCTTAGAAGACAGTGTTTGATTTCTCAGCAACTTTTCTAGGGCTTTTCTCCAGCATGGTGGTGCCCTGGGCTGCTGCAGTGCAGGACTAAGCTCTGGCTGCTGGAGTGTTCCCAGCTCCTGCCTCTTTTAGGGAATTGAGAAGACTAGTGGGTGAAGCTGCCTGTTCCTGAGAACAGAGGAGGCCAGAGCTGGGAACTGCTGGGAAGTAGTAAGGAGGGGAAAAAAAAGGAAGTTTGGAACAATGGAAGAAAGAGGGGAAGTTGAAATGAAGGTTGGCAAAAGAAAATTTGAGAAAGAAGGCATAATTAGGGGAAGGACTAGATTGCAGGATTGAGTAACAAGGACTAACTGGGTGAGGAAATAAGGAACAAATTGCTGGGAGAAACTGGGGGCAAGCAGGGAAAGCAATTGTAATGCATTGAAAATGGAGAGGAAGGGGTTACTGAGGAAGTAGAATGGCAGCAAGAATGGACAAGGTGGAGGGCACTGGGCATATATGATGGGGGACTGATAGCAGAAGGTGGAAATTCCTTAGAAGAAATTTGCCTCTAGAGTAAAGCCAAAGATTCCCACACCTTATTATTCCTCTTCTGCAATTCAGTCTGTGACATTCCTTCAAAATTGTCCCATTCCCCTTCATTGCCCATGCTCCCTGAAGAGACCTGGTGCTGCCATCATGTAAAGAAGAGGTGCAAGAGAGGAGGAAGGAAGCTGCCTCATACTAGCTTGGCATAAGTGCCATAAGTGAAACCTTGGGCTCTCAATTTCATGCTAAGAGCCTAGAAACATGCTATTAAAAATGGCAAGAACACTTCCGTTGCTAATTCGAGTATCTGCAATGTGGGATTGGCAAAAATGAAGTTCTTCTGGGCAGCCTGCTCCCCTGAGCTCAATACATTAGAGCAGTCTTTGATCTAGTGCATGGAATCCAGGGATAGCAGTACTTCAGTGTCCCCAAGTTAGAGGCTTGAAAGGAATTTAATTCCTGTCACTGTCTCAGAGTGCTCCTCTAATTTATATGGCACCTTTTCCCATGCAACTTCCAAATCTGGGTTCCTCATTGTCTGGGAGCCTGATTTGAAACTCTGTGGCTCTTAAATGTTGAACAAGCATCTGGTCCTGAGGTCTATGGGAATGGTGCTTTGAATTTTTATTTTCATAATACTTCCTGCTTCACTTAGTATGCAGAGCAGTGCTGCCCACTTAAATAACGATGATCAATGTTTTGTTCTGTCCTCATTGTTCAAAATGTGGCCCTTAGGCTTTATTTATTGCATACTGCTTAAAATTTGCTTTTGAAGACAGAATGATTAATTTCCCTTGTGGAGTTGCTGTGATGCTCACCACTTTCATTTCTAAGCACCTTGTAAATTCTAATTACTGTATTTTCACAGTCCCCCTTTAAGGCATCACATGGGGGACTGAGGCACCGGCCTTGAGTACAGGACCCCCAACCCCCAGCATCTGCTGTTGTTTCATGCCTGGTCTGATCTTCAAGATTACTTTGCATTTTATATATAATTATAGCAGGTTAAGTAATTCAAGACTAAATTGCAATGGTGCACAGAAGGGGGCAAATTAAGGTTGTCTTTGCAATCCACATTTTTACTTTCCCTGACTTGAGTACCTTAGTTTTCTCTTAAAGTGGATTTTTTATGTGCAACTCCAGTAGAACCTGGCTTTTCTATTCCAGGCAGTTTTAACTTAAAGATTGACAGTTCTTGCTGGTTGTAAAAATGCAGCACTTTCTATAAACCTGTTTTCATCTGTGAACGATCCCATTGAAATGGCGTGCAGAAGTGCACCACAGCTTTAGGATTCATGGAACTGCCACTGAGCAATGTATTTCATTAGTGAGCTTTTCCACAGAATAGAAGCTGCTAATTTTCTATGTTCGGAATAACACTATTTCTGTAAATAAAAATTCAAGCCCTGGGGTTTCTTCTTAGGAAAATTTACTCTTGGACTTCATGTAAACATGACTTTGATTTAATGTATTTTGCCTGTAGGGGAATAGACTGTTAGGAATTCCCTGTGGTTCTAATCTGTTTTAATTTAAACTGTAGCTGGGAGCACTGCAGATTTCTCTGATCCACGAGCTCGCAGTAATAGCAATGAAGGCCCAGACTTTACCACTCCAAAAGCCATCAGCGATTTGGCAGTGCGGCGGGCACGACACAGGTTGCTCTCTGGGGAATCAGGGGAGAAACGCACCTCGAGACCTGTCAATAAAGTGATTAAATCAGCATCCGCTACTGCCTTGTCTCTCCTGATTCCCTCAGGTAAGAAATGCCTTGAGTGAGGCATTGTCAGAATCTGCAAGCACTAAACAAAAGGTCTGCAGACAGATCCTCCCCCTTCCCTCTCCTGGAATAATGCCTTGGCTGGCAGGAGGGGAGCGAGCTAACTTTTACAATCGGTTTAATATTTCCTGCTCGCAGGTTGATGAGCACTGCTGTGCCACAGGCAGAGCGTTGTGCGTGTGGTCTGACTGCAGCTTCTGCCAATGGCAGCTGGGCCCTGCTCTTCCCCTGGTTTTGTTTATATTGACTCCTAGCTGGTCTCTAGACAATGGTGCAGCAGGGAGGTGTAGAGGCACAGAATGATTTTAACCCTCAAGGTGCTGTTTTTTGGGGTCACATGCTAACTACAGCGCTGTTTGGGTATGAAATGTGTCTGGTGCATTTATGCACTGGGAAGTTTCAGAAACTCCAGGTAACTTGGTTGAGATTGAGTGCTCAAGAACTGAACAGTGTAAGCAACTCACTAAGTCAATGCTGAGCTGCTTACCTTGTTGGCCCAGCTCTGTCTACAAGCAAAATCAGATCTTTACAATTCCCGATGCCAGGTGGTAACTCCTAGAGAGCAGCTCAGCCGTACTGAGCTGTGACAGACTGGTTCAGCAGAAGGAGTTTCTCCCCACAAGGATTTTGTCCCTTTCCAGAGGATAAGACCATGCTGTACTTCTAGAGCTGTGCCTGGTCCTGCCTGGATGGGAGCAGAGAATGCAGCTGGGCCATGAGCAATGCCCACCTGTTCCTCCCAGCAGTGAGCTGAGGCAGGACTGCACCTGCTCTTGGCAGCCTCATAGTGATGCACATCACATTTCCTGTGCTTCGGGCATGGGTTGCTTTTTGAACTACGAACTCCCTCATGAAAACCTCTAAAATGTGAATTTAATCACTCAGCAAAGGTTTCTCCAGAGCTGCTCTCATCTGCCAGGTAAATATGTGCTGGGCGATTCAGCAGGTGTTTCTTAATGGATTAGAGATTACCTTCTACAGCTGCATTTAGTATTCCTGCTCTTTGGGTTTATTTTACTGATGTTGACCAGCTTCACTATAAAATGAGAGTTCTGTATTTGCTTTGTACTTTAAAAAGTGGATGTTGTTCCATCAGCAAGCAGAGTCAGGTAATTTATCTGACAGCCCAGCCCATGGCTGATTCATTTGGGAAATTCACTCAAAAGTACACTTGTGATGTTGCTTTTCAGTAGCAAAGTTCCTGCAGTAACTATTATTTTAGGGTTAAATATTTTTGCCCCTGTGAATTTAAAACACTACCAAAACTGCCTAGACGTAGTTGTTGTCTGATCACCTACTCATTCCGTTTGTGTTAATGCTAACTGATTCGGATTTATCTCAGCATCAATGTGTAACTTGCACCAAGATCTAGAGACATTTGATCTTTTGGAGGAGGATAATACATGATAACCTGGAAGTGTCCCAGGATTGTGTCTAGAGCAAATGCTCATGATGGGTTGTAAATCCTGGAAAGAGAAGTAGAAAATACTATGACCCAACCATAATTGTGTATGAGCAGTGCACTAAATGTACAGCTCTAAATGTACCTTTTTGGATGCTCTGCTATATGTACTGCAAAGCATGAATTAGTCGAAGCTGCAGACAGACCCAGCTCTGGTGAAGGTGACCAGCTCTAAGACCATTGGAGGATATAATTTCGTAGCTATTCTCTAACAAGAATTTTCTCTCTTTCGGAGGCCTGTTTTCCTAATTTTTGCCCACCTTTGTGTCATCACTGTAGATCACCACACGTGTTCTCCATTGGCCAGTCCAATGTCACCTCATTCTCTCTCCTCCAACCCATCTTCGAGGGACTCCTCACCCAGCCGCGACTTTTCTCCTGCTATCGCAAACCTGAAACCACCAATCATCATCCATCGGGCTGGAAAGAAATACGGTTTCACTCTGCGCGCCATTCGCGTCTATATGGGTGACAGTGATATCTACACTGTGCATCACATGGTCTGGGTAGGTCTCTGCTGCTCTGAAAAGAGGACCCTCGGGGCCACAAATGCATCTAGCCAGAGGTGTGGGGTTTAGCTTTAGAAATTGTGTTTTGCTACCTTGCTTTCTCTCTCCTTAATCACGTCCAAAGTTACCTATTTGGGATGGGGGAACCCTTTATAACAAAGACATAAACAACAGCACTTTGGGTTTTCCAGTAGTTTTCAAGGCCATCACAGAACCACAGCAACTTTTCTGTCCTTCTTTTTTCCCTGGTTACATGCATCCACCTTCTTTCACCTACAGTACATCCTTTAAAGCATGTTTCTGTGTACATACCCTCTCTCTTTATTGGGGTTGTTGCATGAGGGCCCATTACAGCTAATTTATTCAGACTTGTGTTAGTGATTATAACCTGCTTCTGATCAGTTCAGTCTGCTGGGGTTTTCCAAGCAGTCGCTTGGAATTGATTACAAGCCTTAAAGCATCACTGTTGCTATGCTGATTGCCACGGGATTTAGCTCTTGGTTTAGTTGTGAGCTGTGCTAAAAGGTCTGGGTTACCTATCTGTATTGCTTCCTTTCCACTACTGCTGGTACTTGATCTCTGTGTTCCTTTTGTGTTAGTGTAGATGACTTCTAGGAATGATCCATTCCCTGAGGCAATGTTGTTAGGATTGTGTAGATAGGGAGAATGCAATCAGGGTAAAGGTGATTCATTCTTTTCCTTGCATTTGTGTGTTCATTAGATAATATGGACTAAACATGCTTTGGTCCTTATTATTTCTGAGAGAAATAATCTGAAACTGAATTTTTGCCTTGCCCCTCTCTTGTGTTTCTTGAACAATGCTGAGTTTACCAAGATACTCATTTGGAATCTTTCCTGGCTAGAGGGAGAGATATGCATTGCCTTGCACATCTATCTCCTCATGGTGAAGGAGGCTTACATTCCTGACCAGGGACAGGGGAAAGGCAATGTGTTCACAGGGAAAAGTCTGGTGTTGGATAGGTTAATAAAGGATGGAAAGTGGAAAAAGGTTTAAGGTGCAATATAGGCACCTTAAACACATGGCAGAGTTTTCCTTAAAAGTCTGTTCGCCACCCTGGGTTCCAGCATATACATGGAAGAATGCTGGATTTGGGATGGCAAAGAAATTGAAAAAGACTGAATGTTTGTCTGGAAATCAAGGGCATCTGGCTAACATTCCTGAGAGCTGTAAAATTTTTGGAAGTGTGTTAAGCCTTTTGCTTTGAGAAGAGCTGGTCTCTTGATCAGCTTAACCATCCTGGCTGCCTTGGATGAGGATAAGACTGGTGGGATGCTGGGGAGGAGTGGAAGGGTGCAGGGTTTTGTGCTAGGCTGTGCCAGGGGTGATTTCTTTCACCTTTCTCTGAAGCAGCTGATGCTGACTGTAGCAGGAAGTGACAAGATGGGCTTTGAGTCCCATCTGGGCCAGTGGTCTTGCACATTCCCCTTCTCAAACCAGTCACCCGTTGTTGTTGGCAGCACGTGGAGGAAGGGGGTCCAGCAAACGAAGCAGGTCTGCGGGAAGGGGATCTGATCACCCACGTCAACGGGGAGCCGGTGCACGGGCTGGTGCACACCGAGGTGGTGGAGCTGATTCTGAAGGTAAGGGCTCAGCACTGTTAGGTTTTGGAAAACATGAACAGCTTGTTTAAAATGTATGTAATTGGCATTGTCTGAAATACAAGTGTGCACACACCACCTGGTGGTATTTAACAGCAGCTTTGTTCTGGTTGGTGTTGAAATTATCCAGTTAAATGACTTGTGTTTGATACCTCTCTGAGCAGAATCTGTTTATGGAAAAAACACCCCAGAGTTCTGGACTGTTCCAAAAGACAGAAGTCTTTGGGATTGCAAATAGAGGAGCAGTCAGGATTATTATTTTTTTAACATGAGTGAGACAAGCCATGCTCTGTGTTGCAGATTCATCATGATAGATGCCTGATATGCTCACATCTGCCATCACTCAGAGCACTGGGAATAGGATTGGTGACAGAATATCACTTTGTGCAAGTTTCCAAGTATTACAAGTATTAAATTGAGTCATTTGGGATCTCAATGGGAGAGGTCAGATGCTGTTGTGTTCTGCCTGCTCTGGGAAGCTTTACCTACCAGCTGGGGTCTGAGCTAATCATTTGTGAAAGCCTGACTAACGAGGGCTCTCTCTCGGCAATTCCTTAATAAATGATAGGTGGAAATGCTGAGGGGAAAAATGGAGTTTGACAAAGGATTACAAAATGGCAGGCAGCAATAAACTAGCAACCTACCTGCTTTGCCTGCAGATTTGCTTCAAATAACCATGTTTTAAGCAATGATTCTTTGTCTTGTGTCTGACAGAGTGGAAATAAAGTGTCCATCTCCACCACACCATTTGAGAACACGTCCATCAAAGTTGGTCCAGCTCGAAAAGCCAGCTACAAATCCAAGATGGCTCGCAGGAACAAGAAGAGCAAAACAAAGGATGGCCAGGAAAGGTTTGTTTGTTTGTCTGTTAAAGGGTAACCAAGATAATGTAAGAAATCTTTAGAGAGGTCTTGTCAAATCCATTTGCAGATAATGCATATCAGCAGGTATGTCCTTTAGTTCTTCTTTTCTTCCTTTATTTTTTTCCTCTTTTACTGTGAGGCAAAACTAACTGAAATATGCTAGTAAAGGTAAATAAATAATTTGGGTTTGTGAACACTTCTGAATGTTCTTCCCCAGTAAGAAGAAGAGTTCTCTGTTGAGGAAGATCACCAAACAAGCATCTCTGCTTCACACCAGCCGGAGTTTATCATCCCTGAACCGGTCTCTGTCGTCTGGAGAAAGTGTGCCTGGCTCTCCAACTCACAACCTGTCTCCTCGCTCACCAACCCAGAGCTACAGATCCACTCCAGAGTCTGTACACTCAGGTAAAAAAAAGACATGAAATAAAACAAAACAAAACTAAGCCAAAAAATCCAGCCAAACAGGAAAAGAAAATATTGGAGGAGACTTTTGCTGACTGATTAATTTTGGAAATAAAATACACAGCAGCAGGTAGTAGGTCTCTTTGTGAAGCAAATGACAGCAGTGATGTCGATTACCTTAAGGATGGATATGTTCTTGTTCATTGATTCATTTAAAAATGAAAATCCATACATCCTTTTAAGGATGCACTTGCTGTACTACAGCATCATTCCACTTTGATGAAAATGTGTGTTGTAAGTTGCAATCTTTTCATAGCAGTTTGACACATTCTCTGTGTGCAGAGAAAAGAAATCAAAACAGTGTGGCAAAGTCATATTTGAAAATTGAATCATCTGCTGGAATAAAGAGATTTGCATCCAGAGAATAGCAATGAAACACGTGGTTTGTCTGATCAAAGGGGTTTTTTTCCAGAAAAGTGTTCTCATAGCTGAGTGTTTCTTACTGTGCTCTGGTGTTGGGTGCTAATGATGTGAATTTCCATCAGAAGCCTGGCAATGTTGCCTTCAATATGACTGCTGTGCTTTAGAGTAACATGGCATTGTGTCTTGACTTACTTTCAATAACTTTTTTTAATGGCCAAATATGTATTAATCTTCTTGGTGTTTTTTTCCTTGTTCTTTTTTCTTTTTTTTTCTCCTTTTAAGTTGGCGGCAATTCTTCCCAGAGCAGCTCTCCCAGTTCCAGCGTTCCCAATTCTCCAGCCAGCTCTGGACACATCCGACCCAGCTCTCTGCATGGCCTGGCACCAAAGCTCCAGAGGCAGTACAGGTCTCCAAGGCGTAAATCTGCAGGAAACATCCCTCTGTCCCCCCTGGCTCACACTCCATCACCAACCCCACAGTCCACGTCACCACAGCGCTCCCCATCTCCTTTGCCAGGACACTCAGTTGGCAGCTCCAGTATTATCCAGTCTTTCCCAGTAAAACTACACTCCTCTCCACCACTGGTGAGACAAATTTCTCGCCCCAAAAGTGCCGAGCCCCCTCGGTCTCCTTTGCTGAAGAGAGTGCAGTCGGCCGAGAAGCTGGCTGCCTCTCTGTCCTCTTCTGAGAAGAAGCTGGGTTCCTCAAGGAAGCATAGCTTGGATATCTCTCACTCTGAGTTCAAGAAGGAGATGCTACAGCGGGATCCCAGCCTCCAGAGCTTACAGGAATCTGCCAACGAAACGACAGGCGGCAAACTCGGGCTGGCAGAAAAAGGGATGCTGCAGAAGCCGGGCTCACGGAAGCTGGGTGCCATTCGGCAGGACAGGGTGGAGAGGAGGGAGTCTCTGCAAAAGCAGGAGGCCATCAGGGAAGTTGATTCTTCTGAAGATGAAACAGATGATGGTTCAGAAGATAGTCAGGATGGGAGAAGGCTGGACAAGCCCCGTGGCAACGGAGACCAAGGCTCAGATTCTTTTAATGAGGATAATAAGTTTTCATCTAAATTGGAAAGTAAGGATAGTATTGAAGATGATGCCTTTCTACCTGAAGATCCAAAAGGTACAGAAGATTTGCAGAAGGGAAATACTCAACAAGCAAAGCCTGTTTCAGAGCAGCTGCAAATCAGTGTGCACACCTCCCCACCAGAGCTCCCCTCAAGAACTTCTCCAGAAAAAGTAGCTAATTCAGAAAAGCCATTCCTAAAATCAGAAACAACTGCAAAGGAGCATAAATTGCCAGAAGACAAAACTTTGGAGTGTTTTGGTCCAAAAGACAGATCTTCTGAAGCAATCAAAGATCTCGGGAGAACTCCAGGTACTCAAAAACCAGTGGAATGCACAGAACATGTGCAGAGCCCGTCAGTCAAACTCCTGGAACTTGAAGAAGGTGATTCTTCCAGGGCTTCCTGTGGTAAACTTGACTTGAAAGAGCCTGTGCTAACAGAAAGTAGTCAAAAAAAAGAGGATTCCAAACCTCTGCTGGCACTTTCCTCGTGGTGCACAGCGAACACGAGCACTCCTGTCGCGGTGAGCCCCCCAGACCGCGGTGAGAGTGGTCTCAAGGAGACGCCTCAGCCTGTGGAACAGCACAGCTCCTCATTTCTGTCTCCTGTGAGCTCCAGTGAAACATCCCAAAGAAGTCCTAGCCCTGACAAGCAGCAGCAGCCCAGCTCATCCCAGGCAGAGGGTGCTTTAACCTCCAGCACACCGAGCCCGGCTGGCCCCGTGTCCTCCGCACTCCTCGTCCCCGGTGCCATCGAGCGCGCGCTCTCCGTGTCCCCGTTAGTGCCCCTGGCACAGAGTGTGCTGGGCCCTTTGAAGCTCAGCATGTCTGGGTCTGGAGAGGTGGAAACGAGAAAGGATTTGGGTGCCTCCTGTAAAGAGGAGAGAGATTTGAAACAAAAAAGGCAGGAGATTTCACAAGTAGGAGAATGTCAAGAGAAAGCCAAACCCTCTAGCACAGATGGTCTGACCACGAGGAGCGGCTCCTGTGCAGAGTCCTTACACCCAGCAAAGCCCTGGGAGGCAGTGGGTGCTGTAGGGGCCAAAAAGGAGGCAGCATGTCCTGTGGTGGTGAAAAAAGAGGCACCTTTTTGCAGTGCTAAAGCATCTGAGGGGTTGGCAGGTAGCTGCAAAATCACTCCGTCGAAAGAGCTGTCTCATGCTCTTGGACAAGCAGCTCTGAGGGCCTCTCCTCTGCCAGATGGCAGCACGAGGCCCTGTAAAGAAGGGACTCTGGCACAAGCAAAAAGCAAAGAGGTTGGAAATCAGTTAAAAATACAAGACTTTCCCCTGTCACATGATGATGCTGTAAAGAAAACATAGCAGCATCGCTGGTACTCATGGACTGGAGCGTTCTACATTCAAAATAGAGACTGCATGTTTGAATTTTGTAATATACACTAATATAAAATAGAACTTGTGTACATCTATTTTTGGGAGGGTTTTTTTCATACTGTTTTTTGTGTTTTTTCATCCTTGCTATTCTATTTTTGTACACAGTAGTGCTTGCTGTTTGAGGTCTCTTTAGAACAGGGTATCTTTAAAGCAGGGCTTAAGAAACACTTTGGTTTTATTTTTTTTTCCCTTTCACACCTTTTATTTTGCCTGAGTTTAGGGCCTGATGTGCTCTTCCCTCTAATTCTGCATTTATTTGAGATCCCAAAAATTCTGTGTGCAAAAAAGGCAGCTTGTTTTTAAATTTCTGCTTTTCAGCATTCTTTTTGAAATTCCATTGAAATTCACAAATGTCAAGTTTTTGCTCCAGTTTTACAATCTGATGTCCCTTGACAAGAATAAGAACCTACTCTCTTGTCTGCAAGTTATTCTGAAACTACAGACCCTCTTTGGTGCAAGTAAAATCTCTTTGTCACCATGTTCACAGTCCTATGTCCTTAGAGGATGTGGAGACAAAGGACTTGGCTGGAGAGACTGGACAGAGAGAAATCCCTGTCTTCTCTTTGAAACAAGTAAGAATATTTTTCAATGGAATTTTCGGAAAGAAAAATCTCCAATCCATAAGCTGGCTTTTTTTGGGATTGTTTTTACTTATCTGTATGGGACACATGGCAATTTTTCCCTCTGTTTTTAAAATTTTAGTGATGTTTTATCTTCCTTTCTCTGGCTTCAGTTCATAACTTGCCCTGCCTCCGAGTAAGTGACCCCAGGAAAGGGTTGCCTGTAGGTTGGTTTTAAAGTAGAAAAATTTGTAGTTGCTTATTCTCCAGTGTGTCTGGCAAAGTTATCTCAATGAAAAACAACCTTTGGGGACTTTTCCTTCTCTTGGTGAGTCTAAAATAGGTAGGGATTTTAAGGTGTCCCTTAACATTTCTGAATTGGGGTTTGGGAAACTTGCTGAGTTTTCTGAATCTGCCCGTTGTAAAAACAAACCTATGAAGAGTTCAGACTCCTCGAGTTCTGTGGTCAAGCTGCAAGCAGACTTCAAAACACATGTGATATTTTCAGATTTCAGCTTTGATAGCTAGATCATTTCCACTGCTGAGGTCACTTTGCATTAAAAACTTACTCTTTGCTCCTAGGTTTAGACATCGCTTTACTTTAAGTGTGACCGACTCTGGGTGACAGTGCTCCTTGCTGAGGATTAGACCAATAATAATGCACCAGTAAATGTGTTGAGTGGTGATACCTGTAGCACTGTAAGCCATTTCTTCATACAATTAAAGGTTCCTCTCAATGAACACTCCCATCATTTGTCCCAGATTGTGCTCAGCTTGTTATCCTAGTCTTGTCTGAGTGGATCTCCCTGCGGGTCACCCGTGAGGGATAGTGCCCTGCTCACTGGCTTACTCTGTTAGAAGTAGAATGACTGCAACAGTATTCCAGGCTAAACCCCATCTCTGTTGGTCTGATTTCCTTACACTGCTGCTTCCTTCACTGTCTTGGCTTTCTCTGAACTTGAAGTTTTGATTTGCTTCCCCTAAATGCAGATGTTTATTATATAGGAATATATCTTATCCATCTCTTTCAACCTGATTTCAGTACAACCCACAACTCAAAAAAATCTCTGGAATCTAACCCTGTTTCTTTTTGTGTAGCAATTGCTTCCCCCCCATTATATACTTGATTTTGGCTGCTTGGATTTCATTTCTGGACCAAGTTTTGGTTTGGTTTGAGGTTTTTTTTTTTTTTTTTTTTTGACATGTTTAAATGAGTGTTTACTCCGTGTGTCAGTGTGAACATGTATGGTGTTGCTACTACACTAACCAAAGCCTCAGCACTCCCAGGTAACACCCTAATAAACCTAGCTGTGGTGGTATTGAGAGCAGAGCCTGCTGTGCTGTCTCTCTGCTCTTTTTCCTGGAATTCATAGGCTGCTCGTTTACACTTGGTTTGCAATTACAAACCACAGCATTTCCACTGCCTTGTCAGGGTCCTGGGTGTCTCCAGCCTCTCCAAGTGCTCTTGGTGGTGAGCGTCATTCAGTGCTGATGTAGAGCAATAGCAAGTAAGGAACAGACTTGGCAGGATCTGGTACTTCTCTGGCTGGTTTTCTCCCTGATGGGTTGATCTACTGAAAACTTGTTGAGAAACAGCGCAGGATATTATGGCATGGACAGGAAGAGTGAAAAGTGGATTTGGCATCCTGAGTCCGTGGTAATTACAAAGACAAGCTTCCTTGTCAGCTGATCTCCTGAGAGCACCTGACCTTGGCGAGATTGAAGTGTCTGTGTAAATTATGGAGTTGTGTGAGGACGTGGCTGTTCCCTGGGTGGAAGGTCCCCCTTTTCCTTCTGTGTTTAAAACACTTGAGGAGAAAACTGACCACTGCTCCTAGGAGGTGAGCACAGGGTGTGAGCCAGGCTGGGTAACCTGGTTCATCCCCCACTGGCTGGACCCTGTGATGGTACCAGCTGTGAGCTGCTGACTCCCTGCCTTTGCAGCCTGCACTTCCCATGCTGAATTGCAGAATTATCCTTTCCTAGGCATAAAAAGAGGAGTGAAACCCCTTGCTATGTCACAGCTTTTGCTGCTTTTGCCTGTGTTGGCCAAAGAAGAGGTGAGGTATGTGTTTTGTTGCCTCTTTTGTAGCTACGGTACAGAGTGGTCAGTGCAATTAAAAATCCCTGGTTTTTTGGAAGCCAAAGCCAAACAACGTTGCCAGGAAAGCATTTTAGTGAAGCCCTGTATCCCCCGCTCTTGGTCAGTCCTGCAGTTTCCCTCTGTGTGCCAGGTGCCCCATTATCCCTGTTCTTCCTACTGTCAAATTTACACGGCTTACTTCAGCAAAGAGTTTGAGCAAAAAGATTTTTTCCATTAAATCTTGATATTAAGCCAGGTAGATACACCAAGACCTACTCCTTGCTCTGCTACGAATTCCTCAAATACTTTCTCAAATAAAAGCTTGCAAAATGTGTTGGGAAGGAACAGGATGTTGGAAAGGCTGTGTCTGAGGGGCAGACCCGTGGTACCCAAGGGAAGCCCCTTGGTGTCCGTGGGCAATCCCGAGTCAGGCAGGCACAAGGTGGAAGTCAGGAGTGTGAGGTGTGTGTTTGGTGAATGAGCCCTGCATGTCACCATCCAAATATGCTGCTTTCCTGCTTTGTTTCCCTCTTCCCTTCTGTCAGCTTGGGTGTGTCTCCTGCTCCTCATCCATGTTGGGATGGCAGTGTCTTGAGCTGGTTCAGTCTCTGCAGCTCCTCTCTGCTCCTGCATCCAGCTGGCACATCCCTGCCCCATGCCTCAGTGTTATTTTTCCCTTTGTCTCTTACTGTTGCAAACTAAGAGAAATGGATGATATTTATTGTAAATATTAGACTTTAGCATTGTACTGGCCACTCCCAGGTCCGAATGTTGGAGGCCTTTGGCTGCTGCTGTCCTAAAGAGCGCTTGTGGGGGAAGGGGTAGGAGTGACCTGTGGGTTTGTTTGCCACACTTGCATTAAGGTGTGATTTGGAGTATTTTTTTTTTTAATTTCTTTTTTCTTCCGAAGAGGGGAGGATAAAGTCTTTCTCTGGTTTTCTCTTACTGGATGTGAAGGATAATTCTGTACTTCTAGTAGAAGATTTGACAGAAGTGTGTGTTTACGTTGTGTTTGATTACCATATCCAGGTGGCTGTGAGAGCACCTCCTGCGCTGGGCTCTGCCAAGCTGTGTCACTCAGCACTTAGCTAGATAAGAGAAAGTGTGGAATTTCTGTGTTTTTAGAAACTTGAACAATTGCCACATAATAGCGGTGCAATAATTTTTATTCATGTTGTACCTGCATGTCGATGTTCAAATCCTCCTCCAAAATAAATAATTTTTTTTTTTTACATAAATCCAAACTCGTGTTTGTCTCTTGGTTGATCTCCTCTCAGTTTCCCACAGTGCTGGGGGTGGCTGTGCTCCCAACCTGCCTGCTCAGCAGCTGCTTGATGGGGCAGAAAATGGCCTATGGAGTGTCTGGGTATAGGAGTAACTCTGCCAGCCTCTTTGGGATTTTCTGCTCCACAGGCCAGATGTGTGGCTAAGCCAAAGCTTTCCACTCTGAAAGTCAAGCCCAGAATTTACCATCCTCCACTGAGTCTGTAAGTTTATAGTGTTTTGTGCCCCTTCTAATGCAGGGTCCTGGTGGTAAAAACGTGTAAGGGGTAAAAGGGGTAAAAACCTGTCAGACATGAAACTTGGCTGAGCAAGCTGAGGATGTGACTGGCCACACCTGCACCCTGTGCCTGATGGTTTCAGGAATTGGATGCACAACGAAATCCAAAGGGCAGGGGCTTGGATTAGCCACGGGGCAAGAGCCAGCAGGTGCTACATGGCCCCTTTTTCACCCGTTTATTTAGGCAGCCTTGATGTTGCACCACCCAAAACCTTTCCAGAAACAGATCTTTGCTTTTAACATTTGCAGGTGTGTGCCCTCCACGTGGAAAAGCCTTCAAAGGCTATTCCTGTCCTTGGAAATAGAGCTGGGGAGACGTTCCTGTCTGGGGGGATTGGACTAATCCTCATTCGCTGCTGCCAAGGATGCTCAAAATATCCCCGTGTCTCCGTGCTCCAGAGAAGCAGGAGCAGGGATCGGGGGCGAAGCTGGGCTCGGTCCGCAGGAGATTTGCAGCTCCTCTGCTCGCCGTGTCGCTGGGCGTCATCGCTGACGTGGGCTCATCAAACAGAGATGTTCCAGCCCACGCCGAGAGGGCCCGGGGGACGGGAGCGCAGCGAGAGGACAGCGGTGCCTCTCCTGCAGCTGGAATCACCCGCCGGGCTCATGGCAAAGGCTCCCTGCAGGGACCTGCCCCAGCCCAAATCCACAGCATCATCTCCAGCAGCAGAGCCTGAGGTGGGAACATCGCCCTGGATAAGCAGATTTGTGTGCAAGGTCTTTTCAAATTGCATTTTAATGGAAACAGATATATTTTTCTCCTTTTTAAAGGCTCACTAGCTGGAGTTAAATTAGAGTTATTTTAACGTCAGCAGCCCTCCTGTAGAAGTTTCCCCAGCCAGGAATAAGTAACTCTCAGTCCACAACAGTTTATTCTTCCAGAGGATTAAGCCACAACAGCTAAGGGCCATTTTTTCCTCCCAAATGATGGCATGGAAGTGGCAGCCCAGCACACTTCGGTGCCCACTTGCCAATGCTGAGATTTGACTCCTTCCCCCACGATCAGAGGGTGTGGGTGAATCCCTGGGGAAAGTCCCACTGCCACAGCCTGGCTGCCTGCAGGTAACCTGGAATCTTGAAGATGGGAACTGGGGGGAAAACCAGAGAATCCTGCACGGGTGCTTGGCCTCCCACTATTGGTCAGAGCATGGTGCTGCTGGTTTGATCCCTGTCTGGGCTACTCACTTAACAGCTGGACTCATGATCCTGGTGGGTCCCTTCCAGCTCAGAATATTCTGTGATTCTGTAGACAGTCTGCCCAGAATGGAAGCCACAGCTGGAATTGCTCCTGGATGCACTGGGGACTCGAGAGGAACCTGGGACCCCTTGTGTTGCACCCACATTGCTGCTGCCTGTTCCTGGTGTGGGTCCAGGTTGGGCACTGAGCTCTGGGGGGATGTGCAGATCTCTGTGGCTCCACAGGGTTTCATTCTTCCTCTCTGCTCTGTGCAACCTCATTCCCTGTGACCATGGAAGCACCCAGGGCTGGCCTGCAGCCACCCCCTCTCCAGCCTCCATCATGTGCCAGTGGGCTTTATATTTTAAACGCTGATTAGGGCTGACCTCATATTTCAGAGCTTACTTCATAGTCACTAATGAGGGATTAGGAATGTTAAGCTAATTAGCAATCAGCAAACGAGGGCTCAGTCAATCTTCTCAGCCTGACATGCTGTCAATGAACGAGTTATTTGATGATTATGGTAAACCTGCTCAAACGGGCTGCCTAATTCTGATGGGCAGCAGGGAACCAGGGTGAGCTGCAGCCCAGGTGCTGGGGGCTCACAACCCCACACAGCCCTGGCCATTCTCCACAGACTGGAGGGTGCAGGACACCTGCTCCTGGGGTCAAAGGATTTAAATAAGTAAAGAATCTGGGGTGGGGAGGTTTCTCCATCTCAGATTTACTGAGTTATGGTCCAAACTTCCCAGCCTCGCTGTTTTGGGAGAGGCTTTACCTGATGGGCCACCTAAGAAGAAATTTGGCCACCTGGATGCTGTTCAGCTCCAAAAATACCCTCAAACCAAACCTTTCCTGCTGGGAAGCCTCCTCCCAGGCCAGCCAGAGCAGCCTGGCTCTCGGCTTGGTTTCAACTCCCTGGGTTATTAATTATCCCATTATTTTGATTTTCTCCCACACCCCATGAGGGAAGCAGGGCAGCCAGGAGGTGTGGTGGGCTGGGGGATGGGAGGGTAGCATAGACCTGATCAGTATTTCACACTGGAAAGGGGAAAAAATTCCAAACCCGCAAATATAAAACCCCAGAGTGCTTGTAGGAATGAAGCAAAGGGGGAAGGAATGCAGGGATGCTGGGCACTGTCCTTCCTGCTGTTTCTCCACTCTTTTCAGGTACTTAAGACCTAAGGCAGCTCCACACCTGCTGATGGCCCATGTGGATGGGGTGCTCAGCCATGTGCCAAGGACACACTCTGGCTGTGCTGAGGGGCAGTTTTGGAATGAAAGAAGAAGGTATGGGAACCAGTGGGATCGCTGCCAGTCCAGTGCCACTGCAGAGGGATGGGTCTCTGACAATGAGGGAGCTGCCTCTGCCCTGGGCACCGCTGTGCTTTTTGCTGGGTGATTCCAAAAAGGGCCATTTTCAACTCCTGGATATGGGGGGTGCGTGGTGGGAAAGGCTGGATGGATCTGGGACAAGGACTGAGCAGGGATGGTCCTATTGCTCCCTGAAACTAATTTTCCTGCCTTTCTGGGGAAAAAAAAAAAGAAAAAAGCTTTCTCTTCCTTTGCAGCCAGCTTGGACAGAGGTTTATTTCCCCAGGGGCTTAGTGCTGGCCAGGACATGTGGCTGTGACCTCCTTGCTGCTGGGGCTGGATCCATCCCACCTTGTATCCGTGCCCTTCCCCATGTGCCAGCCCAGCCTGGCAGACTGGGAGCTAAAAATAAGTGAAACGCAGGGGATAACCGGGTGCCTAAATATATCCCTTCTTTAATTAGCACCAGGCGACTGCCTCGCAGTCACGTCCGTCTGCCAGGCTCTAAATCCCGCTGAGCTCCCCTGGAGAGGCTCCCGTGAGCCCGGGCACGGAGCATCCTCGCCCGCCTGGTCCCTCTGAGCCTCGCCCTGGCCTCGGCGGGAGGGAGACACCGCACAGGGGTTAAACCAGAGCGGGAGGGTCAGGGTGAGGCGGGGGCATCGTCCTGCCGCTGCTGAGGTGTGCGAGATGGGGAAGGGAGTGTCAGGAGTGGTGATGCCATGGGCTGGGAGTGCCTCTGGCAGTGGGATGCTCTCCCATGGCTGCTCCGTGCAGGGCTGTGGCTGTGGCTGAACTCGGGGTCAGGCTGGGAGAGTTCTCTCCTCCCCCCGACCTCACCGGGGCTCTCCCCGGTGCTCACCCGAGGCATGGGTCAGGCAGTATTTAACCCATCGCAGCTTCATTGAGCTCCCTGGTCCTTCAGGGGCTTGGAAGTTGGAGTTGCACCTCAGCTGCTGGTTTTAGCATCTTCTATTTCTAATACAGACATATAAATAACTCTTTCTGGTTTGCCTCCTTGGAAGGGATGCATGGGAGGATGAGCTAAACCTATGGGCCCCATGGCTGCAAACTCTTCTCTGGTCAGTAGTTGGCTCTTCTGCTTTCCTAAAAGGCTGGATTTCCTCCAAAACCGCTTCTGGGAGGCTCTGTGAGCAGCACAGTGGGGCAGCATCCTGAAGGGTTTTCCTTTGGGTTCCTCAGAGCATGACCAAGCCATCCCTGCTGCTGGCAGCGAGGACATGGGGTCTCACTGCTCTGAGAGTAACTTGGGCTGTGCTCTGGGCACCCCTATTAATCCTGAAGGAGAAGGTCTCTGGGAAAGGTGCTGCCCTCCCGGGTCACTGACAGCAGAAGGTGGCATTCCCCCATAAATGATTCCTGTGCTCATTCGCTCATCCCTGACAGCCATGGCTGCTTTGCTGGAGATGAAAAGGAGGAGATTAAAATGACATTTTAAAGATCTCCAGCCCCACGTCGCTGGTGTGACATCTCAGGCCACTTTCCTGCTTTACTGCTCACCAGTGATCTTAAAAGTAACTGGCTCCTGTTTCCTCCCTCCCGCCCTCACCTGACTTTTTAGAAGTTGATGTGGGTGGTGGAGCCAGCTTGTTAATTTTGGAGCTGCCATTAATGAGGGTGCTCCTTCATCCTGCAGGTGCTGTTGGGTTTGTCCATGGGTGCACATTCCCAGAGCAGTGGGGGATGCTCCTGTGGGACAGGGGGACTGTGCTGCTCCCCAGCACTGCCCACATTCCCTCTCTCTGCTAGAACATGAGGATGTTTAGAGCATGAGGAGGGAAGCAGGGCTCCTTGTGCCCCTTCCTGTCCTCCCATTCCTTGTATTTCCATGTGCTTACTTTCCTGGTTGCTTTAGCCATGAAGGACTTTGGGCAAGGAGGAACATTTGCCTCCTTGCCTCTTTCCCAAACCTCCAGCTGGATGTAACAATGTCCAGCAGAAAACTGTGGGGCTGTGGCTGCTGTCCCCTGTTTGGGGATGTGAGCCTCCAAATTCAAGGGAATGGTGATGGAGCAGTGCTGGGGAGCAGCTGAGCCCCTGCCCTGCCTGCATTATGGTGCATGGGCAGCCCACACATCTGTTTTGCAGCTGGATGAAGGCCCCACTTTTCCCCAGGAAATCTCCAGTTGTGGGAGTCAGTGCCATGAGACATTCTGGTTTATGTT